AAACCACAGCAAAAACCGGTCTCGCCACAGAGGGCCTCCCCAGTAGGGGCAGAGGCGTGGCAAGATTGCCGGCAACTCCGCATTGTCAAACTGCCGGCCACAGTGGTAGGCATTGCAGATAATGCCTTCCGGGACTGCAAGCTCCTAAATAGTGTCTTGGCTCCGGGTTGTCGCGATTTTGGTTACAAAGCCTTTTCGGAATGTTGTTCCTTGCAGTGTGTGTATGCATCGGGTGGAGCTGTAAACGTGTTCAGCGGGGAAACCAATTTCGGGCAATACCTCTTCCAAGGGTGCATCAACCTTGCAGAGGTCACCGTGAGTGAGGTTCCATCCCCCGATCTGAATTGAACGGGTTAACCCAGCAAGACAGGACCAGAGAGCTAGCTCCGGGCTGCCTCAGCTCTACAGGCATCTACACGCTTGTTCTCCCAAAGCACTTTGTAGCCATAGGAGCGCACGCTTGTGACAGTTGTCGACTGCTTAACAGTGTTGACCTCCGTAACACCATGATTGAAGAAATTCCGGAATTCACTTTTGGCCACTGCACTAGCCTTCGGGAAGTCTTCCTACCGACAACTCTCCATACAATCCAAGTTAAAGCCTTTATGAACTGTGCCGCCCTTGTTGAGCTTGCCATTCCGCCTGCTCTCAAGTATATTGGAAGTAGGGCTTTCTTGGACTGCACTGCCCTTCGGAGGCTGGTCAAAATGCCCGGAACACGCAGATGGCGAGGGGTTTATGCTGAAGAAAATGCTTTTGCCATCTGTCCGGCCATGAAATGGCCACCCTGGCTGCACATGATCCCAGACATGGGCTACACCCCTGGCTTAGGATAGAGGATCATCCCTCCATCCACAGCTGTCGTGGCCCTGCTATCAATTTTGTTAGGGTCTGGGTGCGAGCCTTAGCTCGGGTCCGGAGTAGGCCAGCAATTGCGAAACAGTACTCCTCAACACGAGTCACTAACCATAGTTGCCCTCCGTTATACATGGAGTAAGTGCCCAGAGGCTGTCGGATAGAGAAGGGTCTCGGCGTGGCGGTGATGTCGACAACGGCAAATCGTCCACCTGCCAGACACAGTAGTCGGCCACTGGTTTAGGTGTCAAATGCTGCGAGTCGTGGTCGCCCCGAGATGCAAGTTTTTCGGCACCATAGCATCCGATGACCTATAACACAAACGACCTTTGGCGACACAAACTATCTAGACCCAGCCTCAACGAAGCTATGCTTCAGAGCCAGGAGAGAAGCAAGTGCGACGTGAGCAGTGAGTTGAGCCAAGTGCCAGTTTTTGAGCATTAGAAAAGGAGGATTTCCAGGCATATATGGCAAGCAAAATGCACAGACACCAAGTAGAACCATGACCTCTTCTCGCCATCCGCTGCGAAGTGAGCCGATAGGAGCGAGAACCTTAGTTCTGCGTTCCTACACGGCGGGTGGTAGATAGTGGCAATGAAGGATATCCAGGGGGAACCTTAGTTCCCGCTGTTGATGTCCGACATTTCCAATTTTGTACAAAGAGGTACAGATATCATACTAGGAGAGCTCAATGTTTCACAGTTTTCACACGGGCCTTGCACGCACCTCTCACCTTTTGCCATTACACAGCGCCGCACAGACTCAAGTGACATCCCCCTTTTGGCACCGTTGAGTGCCGAAGGGTGTTGGGTCTGCCTCCCCACGGGGAGGTGGTGCCCGAATCACCCTTAGCTGCAGGCTTCTCTCGCTAGGAATTGCCGCCGTAATTGAATTCTGTCTGGCAGCATGTGACTGGCCTTGTATGCGCCACCGGTTGAACGGGTTGTGCTACAAGTATGGTCTTTTCCATGGATTGCTGCTTAGATCTTCGCACATTCGGTTGGCCTGATTACAACCACTGCTGGAGCATTGCGAGACACCTGACCTGCAAAGTGACCTTGTTTTGCCACACTGTGGTGTGGCCGCTGGTCACCAACACTTGGTAAGGAAAGTCCGTTTGAAGCCTTCTAGGCGGCTTTCCATGAACACAGCTTGCGCTGCAGTCCTCTTCTCTTGTGAATTCAGGCCCACTAGTTGTCACTAGTCTCAGTTTCACACGTTTCACCTAGTGTATAGGGAAGACTACAAGATGGTGGAGTCGGCCTGCGGGCTTGGGTGTTTGGTTTTGGGTTGGTTTTTTGGGGTCTTCGTTCCTTTCTCCACCATCTGTCTTTTCTTCCCTTCCTTCAACGATGACCTGGGCACCATGCCCACACGGCGTCCGTACTCGTGGAAAAAAAGGCCAAAGCCTCGGCCGTGCCGGAGGAGCATGTGAAAGACCTCTGGTATTTCATGCGGCATGTATGAGGTAGTGGGGGCTCGTAGCCCAATGGAAGCTTTGAGTAGGAGCGTGCGATGGGCTTTCTGTCCATCGGCTACTCCACCAGGGCTCTGTTTGGGATCACCAAGCGCAGTCGAAAGAAGGGTTGTCGGGGACGGTTGGCGCAAAGGCAGCAACTGGCATGCGATGCATGACGTGGAATACCTCGAAAGTATTGGTCTATGCTGAACTTTTGATTTGGGCTTCCTCTCAAACACTTGACGTGTTGGAATACAGGAGACAGGTTGGGGATTCTCGGCCACATGGAGCACCTCCCACAGCTACATTGCTTGAAGGACGCCTCCTCGCGGCCTTCAACTGCAGCATATTGGAGCTGGTTGATTCTCTTTACCAGACTCTGTACAATCTGCACGGGGAAGTACACATACATGTCATTCAGGGGAAGCTCCTGTTTGCCGAAGGTAAGACCATGGGCAGAGGACATGATAACAGTTTGCGTGAGCGAGAGGGCATTGCGTTCTTGAGTTGGGTCCGTCTCCTGCGCATTCTGTGGGCCGTCTGCCTCTGGCGTTTGCAAGTCGGCAGTTGCCTTGTCCCACAGGATATTATGTGCACAACAGCTAGCACAGACAGAGAGCAGCCCAAATTGCCAAAAGTCCGGGTCGGCATATAATGCCAAATGGCCAAATGTGTCTGCAAACAACTTGCCTTTGTCGACCCATCCAGCACGTCGATCGAGGCCATTTGGGGGATCTAACCTCACATTGCGTGAGTCTTCAGCACATCTGGCTTCCAACCAGATGGCGGCACATTCGCAAAGAAGCCTTTATGTTCTGCAACGCTCTCACAGAAGTGGATGTCCCGCCTACCCTTCGTTACATCGCCCACCTGGCTTTCTTTGACTGTGGTCAGTTGGCACGCTTTACACTTATGGGCCATAAGAACAACCTGGAGAACCCTATGCAGAAAACAATTCCTTCGCCTTGTGCTCTTGCTTCGCAATTCCGACGTGGATCAATCTCTTCCCTCCTGACGGAGAAGACCCCGCCGGATATGACGGGAAGAAACCGCTTAGAAAATACAAAGCGTACAGTCATTCTGCATTGTTTCACACGGGCATTGCATGACTCATTCAACAACAGCGGCCAGTAATACCTTGCTGCACAGGCAGGGGGATCACCTGACAGTCCACTGCTTGACGTGGTGTGGAACAAGGCAGAATGTCAAGAAGAGCAGTGACACGCAAAATGACCTCCCAACCAATCCCTCCCTCGCTCGATCATGTTTGTGGAACTGACAAGTAGGGAAGTCGTTGGTTAGTTTCCGTCGATGTCCTCCTTTGCTCGGGCGACTTGAAACACCTTGCGAAGTCCTCCTACTGGTAGTCTCGCAGAGGTGAGCGAGTTTCGCTCTGAGTCTTGCAGTCCAGATGAAAGGGTTTCGATGCATTTCGAAGAGTTGCAACTAGCTCTCTTCTTCTATTTGTAAAAAAACTGAGTATGACAAGGAGCGTGAATTGGCAAAGACAAACCAACCAAAGGAATGGCCCGCTTCCAAAGCTGCAAGGAAAGACAGTGGTGAACCAGCAATTTGTTCCTTGAATAAGAAATAAAGCTTGTGCGCCCACTGGTTTACAACAGGGGGTGATGCAGCAGCCGCCCATAGTAACCCTTCTGCAAAAGCATGACCCCCTGGGTGTGATGAATTTGAAGTGAAGAAAGGCCCTACCAAACCGGGGAGTGCGAAGTTGGTGGGGACGCCGTTGGGTCCTGCCCGGGCACTCAGCAACAATTTGGATAGGTTATAGCCATAGTTCAGGCAACTTCTGTTTCTCATGCTTTCAGATGCCCAAACAGTCTGATGAATCATGCTGTGGAGGTTTAGGGGGTGAAGCCCCACCAGCCCGTGGAACCAGATAAGGGCGTCGTCATTTTGTAAAGGTCCATGCTAACATTGTTTGGGTCACAAAAGTGTCAAGACCGAAACTTGAAAATTTCTTTTGATTGTAGAAACAAAAAGCGAACAAACTGGGCCACAAGGGGGGTTCAGAACATTTTGGTTTGGTCGTGAGTTCTTTTTTCCTTGTACTTGAACTGCAGTATGGTTCGTTCAATTGTAGAATGGCCTTGTGCGTTAAGTTTTAGCATGTCCATCAGAAAACCCAACGCTTCACATGAGTTGTGTGACTGATAAGGGCGCAACAAAAAACCAATTGTGGCCCAATCTTGGCTCAAACTAAAGAACCAAACTTTCACAAAACCCAGTGCATCACATGTTGGATCACTTGTTCGCATCACACAGGAAGTTGCTAACAACGCATAGTTTAAAGTGAAATTGCGAAACAAACCTTGGACCTTTCCACCAGCGAAAGGTTTATACAATGGCTACAGATTTGTCAATTGAGGCATGGTTTTGCTAACCACACGGTCGTTCGAAACTCTGTGTCGCAGGTGGGGATTTCTTGTTAGCTTTAATGCTTTGCCAGGAGCGCTACATACAACACCAAAGAGGATTGTTTGTGGGTGTGCCGCGACCTGCTGCGCCTGTGAGCTATGCACGGATGCCTGAAATTTCAGAAGCAGTTGATGTTTTGTACGAAAACGAAGCAGTCGTTGTCCCCAATTGTCACGTTTCCGCCTCCAGGTGAATTGTGTGCGGTCTCCTCCACCTCAACACTACCAGGAGCTCCTACCAATCGGAGAGAAACCCAATCAGAGACACGCCGTTAGTTTTTGCAGTCATTGCAAATTCCTCCGCAAAACCCGCAGTTCCTGGCAGGCAACTCGTGCTCCAGAACGTCCAGACCAAAACCTCCACTCAGCAGTGCAGAATTTGCAGAAACAGGTCCCACCGTTTGATCTTGCGATGGCTTGGAATAGGTTTGATCCTAATGCCTTTGTCGAAAAACGGTGAGGCCGCTGTGCCAGACACCACATTGCAAACCATATTTGAGCAATATTTTTCCATTAATATATAATGTTTTTTGCATGCTGACGAATGATTGTTCTCTGAAAACTCTCTGGGCGGAGGTCAATGAATTGCAGCACTTGTTTCATTCTCTTGCGCAGCAGGTGGGAGTGAGACTCTTTCTGGTGTCCATTTCAGGGGGAAAAGACATATTGATTCCAATTTACATAGTGCTGGTGGCGGTGGCCATTGGCTAAATGTCCACTGAGGGTTTTTGTTTCAAAGCAAACGCTGAAACTGTTCTCTGGGCCAGTTTCGCCCAGGTGTCGCGCAGCACTCCCACTGAGGTGCAAGCCCGTTCTTTGCTTCTGCCAGTCTTGCGAGAGTACAAGTGGGTGTGTAATCATTCTACAAAGCTGTTGGTCAGGGTTCATAGCTTTCACCAAACAAGGGTTGAAAGATACAGTAATTATCATGGAAAGAGCAATCAAGGGACCGTTGTCGTTCCTTTTCTGCTCACATCATCTTCCAAGCGTGGTTCCAGACTACGAGTTGGCCAAAAGACCCAATGAAGCTAGTAGGGCAAGCCTCCGCAGTGGAGTTTCAAGCATGTGCAGCATGTGGCCAGCCCATCATGACGCACCAACCTGAAGTTGCACGTACTCCGTCGGAAGAGGCATCGAGACTTGGGACTTGGACTGGACAACACGAGTGGCTAGTGATTGCTCGAAATGATTCTTGATTGGGCACCTTTTCTTGACACGTATGGCAATATATCAAATAATTGCACTGTACAGGATGTCCACTTCATCAAGTTGGTCAAGTGGATTATTTGAAAGGGACACTTTTGTATGTTTGCTTTGATTTACGCTCATGAATCACAATAAGCCATGTCGAAAAAAGGAAACAAACCGAATATCATTCTTCCTATTTTAAACATATGTCGTTTTGTTTCTTGTCGTCGAATCACGAAGACCAAGGCGCTCCTGCGCCTTCATCGCCAGCGTCGGCAGCAATGCAACGAGCGTGCTGAGCAGCTGCACCGTGAAGCACAGCAGCCGCACCGCGAAGCACAGCAGCCGCACCGCGAGCCTGAGGTGAGAATCAATTTTTTTTTGCAACAAAAACTCATTTGCTCAAATCCTTTCATGAAAGAACTGAAGATGATGCACAGACAGTAGATGCTCTCAAATGAAGCATCCTGGCATATCTGATGTTCTCCAAGAATGTGCTTCATTTGTGCCTTGTGCACTTCATCTTCAAGTTGAACTGTGATTTTTTCGGCTCAGCTGTGCCTTAGTTTGAGGGTTGAGGCGGGATGGGAGTCCAGGTTCCATCCGGTTCCAATACGATCATTTTATTCATTGTTTGATGCTTTTTGTGGGTTTCAAGACTGACTCTTTTGTTTTGGCAGTTTGACAGCTTGGGCTTTCAATCTGCCAGGCCATGGAAGGCCCACATTTTGAACCCCCTCGGAAGCGAGGCAGGGGCTTTGAAAGCATGCTCTTCCTTCTGTAGCTACGTCAGCACAACCCGTTGCCACAATATTGTAAGGCTTTCAAGCTCAAGTAAGTCAGTAAAGACTGATCAAATAACTAGCGGCCTTCAAGCAATTTGGGCCTTGCTCTCCAAGGCAATCGTTTTTATCCTGAGGTGACTTCCTCCTAGCTCGACCGCGGCATCTTGCCTGTACAGAGCTTCAAGATAGGCGAACATCAAGTATCTCGAAGATTCGACTGTTGAAAGGAAGACTTTGACATGTCATGTCTTGTCTTGCCCCAAACTGAATCCAAGGCTACATGGAAGCCGGTATGTAGATGCACTCCCAGATATTGATCAGCAACTTGAGAATGCCATTGTTGCAGCCTTGTGCATTCGGTGCTACTTGCGACTGATCCAGGGTCTTTTTGAAGGACAGACATGAAATTGTTATAAGGTCATGGGAGACCTGGCATGGGTGAAGGACCGATGGCAGTGCACAACTGCCAACATCTCCCAAACAAACTTGCGGTGAAGGTTTTTGGAGCATGTTTTTTCAACAGCATGTGCCCTTTCGATTATGGCCAGGACTGCGTGAAGAAAGGTGCAAATGTTAACTGTAGATTGGATGAGAAAGGCTTCACTCCCTTGATGCTTGCTAGTGAAGGCGCTGCAGACATGCCTGACGCATGAGTCGCAAGGAACCATTGCAGTTTGGATGACATGATAACCTCGAATTTGAAGAGTCCAACTCGATTCACGAGGTGGATGGGCAAACATTGTGAGATATTTGGTGGAGAACACAGATGTAGATATGGAAGCGGTCGATTCTGGAGGCCACACCGCAGAGTGGCATATGGATTGTTTTGACAAAATTGCTGAACAAGAAAAGACAGCATACTGTAGTAACTGTAGTATGTACCTTTATGAGAGCATTATATATATTCTCGCTTTCAGGCTTCAATGCTGCTGATATTGCAGCCTTAAACGGCTATTTGAGTTGGGAAGAAAGAGGACAGCCCCCAGAGGGTCGGGCGGACGGGTTGGAGTCCTTACGTGGCAAGTCATTGGAACGCGCTGTTGTTCCAAAGCAGAACAGGACCCTTCGCAGACAGGATTAGGTTTGGAAGGTTTGGACCATTGACCAAAAGTTAAGCCATTTTTAAAATATTCTGGTGCAACTTTGGCAATCGCACTTCAGTGGCGACATTCCCGTCATCGCTTGCCACCCCACCACTTGTTTGTTTCCTGAGTTTCCCCGGAGTCTATGTGATTCATGTTTTGCAGATCTTTGAAGAACGTCAAGTACTCCAGCATTTGTTCGGTTGACTCCAATGAAGTCACTTGAACAACTTCTTTAGATTGTGCAACTATATAATTCCTTAAGGTGCTTTGCATTGCTTTGCAACCGATGTATAGCTATTCAGACATCGATGGTCTTGACTTGCTAGATGGAGCAAAACTTGATGTCTGCTACAGTATACACAATGGAACTACATTGATTTAAGTCTTTGCTGCACTTCCCAAGTTTCCTGGTTTGTGTCTCTTTATGCCAGACACTCCCTCCAACTGATTGATGTGCTGCACCATTTCCTCATTGAACAGCTTACAACATCTGCTTCGTACATCTGCTGTGCAAAAAGATATTTTCACAGTGTTTCGCTGTATTTTGCATCGCTGAGAGTGCCGCAAAACGGTTGTGGTGGAAAAGTACTTTCCTCATCGCTGCAAACGAACTGTACATTTTTCCTCTGAGCAGAACGAGTTCAAGTGAGTTGTGAAGCCAGCATAGCCTTTGAGCTGGCCCTTGTGGTCCTTGAGCCAAATCGAATCAAGATTTGCGACATGGTAGCAAAGCCTTTTCACTTTTCTCTTAGAAGCTGACACAGTTTGCATTGTGGAATTGGGCAAAGTCTGCGTGGTTGGTAGAAAATTGTTGATGTCACGAGACAAAAGCCTATCCTTGAAGACGAACCAAAGGCAACGTGTCCTGTGCTTCGTAGCTTTGTCGTTCTTTTGTTCTGAGTGACTTCAGTGAAAACGGCCGGATGTCCAGGAAAGAATTCTGATGTCGCTGATATTGTGAACTATCTGAAGGCAGTTGATCAATTCATAGTGAAGCCTAGCGCTCTCAGCACTTGCATGAAATTGTGTGGAAACAGAGTTGCTGTGGCATCCAATGTCCATTCTTTAGATCAAGAGAACATCACTTGCACCAGAAGTTGGAGGACCGAGGGCTTGAGTACACCTGGCGTGGTGCTGTCATCGGTGGCGACCTGGACCGCATCAACGAGTTCCTTGAGAATGGCCAGGACATTGAAGAGCGGACCGGTCACGCGGACGAGTTGGAGAGCGGTGTGAATGAGGGGATCAGAATGGATCAGAAGCATGCATCAGATAATGTATGAACATTGTAAAGGGAACCATGTTGCATACGACTGTGTTGTGATGCATGGCACAGTTTGTGATGTACTGTGCCTGTGTGTGTGTGTGTATATATATATAGATAGATTAGGGCGACGAAGTGAGTTAAGGGGGTGTGAGGGTGGGGTGGTCGTTGAGCGGAACCTTTTGATAGGGTGAACCCAGAGCTTGGTGGGGGAGAGCGCTCCAAAGTGAGGGTCCGAAAAGCAGTGAAAATGGGGTCTGGTGATGCGAGTGATGTAATGGACGCAGAGTAGTGCATCATTAGCATCATGAAGGGCTTTGGAGACTATTTGGACAATGGCCATAGAGGACTCGAGTGGAGACAGGGGCCCACGTACAGGGACCCACGTAATGAAGGGGCAGCTGGCTTTCGACCCCCCCTTCTCAGGTATATATATATATTTGTACATAGGCCAAGTAGTTACGCCGTGGGCATGATATCACCGTAACGTTGGCAGAAGCTGCTGTTGAAGCAAGATATGACATATGATGTGTTCATCAGAGCTTCCTGCATTCGGGCGCTCTGCTGGCCAACAGGATGCTCAGTCGGCACTCTGTGCAGTTGATATGAATTGCTAGGCCCCACAAAAGCGCTTTGAAGAGAAGCGAACTCTGAGTTACTGTTGAAGAACAACTTTGCATGAACTCAACTCTAGGAAGGTGGTGAAGAAGGAGGGTTGTGTGACGTCAAGAGCATGGTGGGAATACATTGGTGGAAAGCACTGCTGTGACAAGCATTCCATCACGAGAACTGAGAGTAATGTTCAAGTTCAACAGTACTGAATGGGCGTTACAGTCAGGAATACACCATACTTCTTGCTGTTGTGTCATTCCAGCCTAGCCATGTGACCCTCCGATCTTCAAACCCATTTCTCAGAGCAGTTTTAGAGCCGTTGTAGTCACTGAGGCTACTACTGCGAAGGATTCTCAGTCACAACTTAGCTGACACCAGAAGTTTCAATCTGTATATATTTTTCTTTGTCTCTATATATATATATACACATGCATATAAAAAAATCAGCTTTAATTGGAGCGATCTCACCGTCATTGTTTTGAAGATGTTTGCTCAGAAGGCAGTGGTTTGTCTTGAGTTGTCACTTGATTTCATCAGAGACCCACACTTGAGGCAACTATCAGTACACTGCATTTCAAATGGCAATGAAGTTTGGACGACAGAACGTAGCTCGGTACTTGCTCTGCGCGGAAACTCAGTGTGAGACCTGTCGTTGATCGTCTCACAACCGCCTGTGGCTTGGTTTATCAGAGCAAACCAAGCGACCTACGTTACAGTAGCGAGCTACAACGACCTAGACGAGTTTTTTCACGTTTGCAGCTCTTTGTTCAGCTTCAGTCCCTTCAGCCTTTTCAGTCCCCATACCTGTCTTACAAAGAGAAAGAGAGGCGGCATTGGTTGCAAGGTTTGGGTGCAGTGATTCCCAGAGACATTTGTGAGACGCAAATTCCCTTCGAGAGTGAGCTGAAAGGTCTCACTTGATATCTTAAGAGCTTCTTCCAAGCTGTGCTAGCTTTGCTCAAATGGGCCGAGAACTTGTTGCTCAGCTGCTTGTGCCCATCTCTGGAAGAATCTCTGCCGCAAAAGTCAATGTGATCAAAGACAGGACTTCCAAGATGTACTCCCGTTACTTGATAGTTGACGCACAGGGAGCAATGCAAGTTCAGTGACTCGTGTGGATTCCCAAGCGAGAAAAGAGCCATGAATTTCTTATGAATTGACATCTTGGGAAACAAGTCAAGATGTCATGATCATTCGTATATCAAATTTGGCTTCTTTGAGTATGTGTTGATGTGTCTCAAGGATTCTTTTGCCAGGCCGTGGAGACGTCGGAGGCTCGCGAGGCTTCACTGCCAGAGACTTCCCGCACCGCTGCCGCTGCGCGGGAGCTGTCAGAGCCACGGCGTCAGGCGCGCTGCGGCACCGCGCTGCGGTATCTCTTCGTTTCGTCGTGTCTTTCAATAAGTCCGAAGAAGGAAAAGGGAGACAATTGGTTGATGCAATTAAACAAAATCCACCAGAAAGGCATAATATGTATATATATATATAATACATCCAATCAAGAAATGGTTGAGCGTGCTTCACCTGGTGAGGCGAAGAGGTCTTGGATACAAGGCTTGAGCAAAGGCGAGCGGAGAAGACATGCTGCAGACTTTGCACGTTGTCTTCATGTTCTCTTGAACTGGCGCACACAAGACATGCTACAAAAAGAGGCAACAAGGTTTGTCGTTTTGACGAGGGCAAAGTGCTCCTATAGACTGGTTTGTGAGGTATTTTTTTTGCAAAAATTCAGTATTATCTTCTAAATCCTTGCAAGTCAGTATAGTTACTTAACTTAACCCAATAAGGTCGCTGTGAAAACCAGCTGGACACTTCAGTCAGATCTGCTCCGTCCACTATTCTCCGGCCACTATTGGAAGATGTGTACCCGTCCATTGTGAGTTGGTCTTGTATGCACAAGCTCCAAACAAGCGGAACAGGAATAAGGTGGTTACAATTCTTCCTAGTACGTGCTGTCAGCACTGACCTGCCTTGCGATTTGTGGCAATGATGCGCAGGGCCGAGCCTTTGGCAGGTGGGATGGGGCACGGGAGGAACTGTAACATTGCAAGTGTTTGTCCCTGAACCCCCAATAGATTGACCAGCCACACTATTGACCAATATCTCGCTAACTTAAATTTGTGAGCTGACAGAGGCGGACTCTGCCAGGTCTTGCAGCAACGACTTTGCAAAGAGCAAAAAGAGGACAACTGATTCTCCTTTGTCGTTGAAATCTTGACGGACCATCGACATGTTCATTAGCTTCCTTCTTGGTCAAATTGCATGAGAAAGTGATTTGCCGGGGTTCATAGCTTTAGCGCTCCAGCATTGGAGGAGCCCGGGGGCAAGCAGGAGACCCAGGATGTCCAACCCGAACTACTTGCAGTAAAAGCAGGATTTTGTTACTGCAGCAGGACGTTAAGTTGGGGTTGGCGACTTGAGTTGACCCGTGATAGGTCTTAATGCGTTTTGGTGCCATGACAGGTTAATTGATGTTGTTGAAGTACTGTAGATGAGTCGCCCCACTGCTGCCCCGCTTGTTTCTTTTTTTTATCTTATTATTTTTTGAGTGCACATCCATCAACAGTGTTTAGCATGTTCAGACATTGTGGCAATATCTTTTTCATGCGACAAGACGTTGGAACAGGCACATTTACATGCTATGTCAGTATGAGCTTGGGATCATCAATCGGTAGCCTTTACGCATAGTTGTGCCACACAACTGGTAGAGGCATTTTGCTCACGAAGTCCAAGATTTGTGTATGTGAAAAGGTAGCAATGAAACAGCTTGTGCCCCTACATTCCCGAGCCTAGCGAATCTGATGTGAGTATGTCCGTCGTGTTTCATGTGAAGCCCAGTGTCGCACCTCAAGCTGCTGTAGATGTTGACGGGAAAGACATTCGCAAGTTGGAACACGGTCCTGTCGGTGAAGAACCGAGAGAGAAGAGCTACTAGGGGCTCCTGGCATCGCTACTAGGAGCAAGAACGCTACTAGGAACATGTTTTGTCACATCACATCAAAATGTTGATTCGCACGCCCCAAACAGAACAACCTGAGAGTGAAACGTGTGCTGTGTCGGTATGAACTACCAACTAGCTGATGATGAGCATTGAAGCAAGCCATGACTAATGCCAGTCATCATGATATATCACGACAATAGTTGCGCTGACAACAGGCAATGTGAGAGTATTGAATTGCACGGTGTTGCAACTTTTTCGCAGGACACAGAGGAGAATTGATCTCAATTAGTCTCTTACCTCTTTGAACAAAAGAGCTACACACTTTCTCTTTTCTGAGGAAAAAAGAAACTGGTACTGTTCGGTCCTTAGCTGTTTGAAGGAACCTGATTGTGAAAGTCTCTGTGATCACGAGCTCTCCCATCCCCTAAAGTGAAGAACATTTTTTTAAAGGGGGAACCGGGGTATGGTAGGCCGCTAGAGGTAGCTAGTAGTAGCTAGAGGTAGCTAGTAGAAGCTAGGTAGCTGCTACCTGCTACTGGACGCAGGATAGCGCTCGCAATATTCATTTGGTTCCTAGATTTTCAGGGAAACTTAAGCTCCGGGCATCTCATTGTTTGAGCCAACTCTACATGCAGAGCCGTTTGTTTTCAACAAGTTCTAGGCTGAGAGTGAGATCTGGAACGTTGCTTTGCCTTCCTTGGTCCAAATGTCCGCCTCCATGCCAAGGATACAAAAGCAGTCAATGAAGAGGCCAGCTGAAGTTGACGGGGTGGAGATGCTCACAACATTTCGTAGATAGTGTGGAATACCTCCCCTGAAGACTCGCTAGCGTACTTGGTGGTGGGTCCTTGGAGAATCTACAACGCTGTTTTCTGCAAGCTTTTCAGATCGGGTGGGATCATCCCTTGGGAATGGGTGAATGAAGAAGAAGTGAAACCTTTCATTTGCCGAAATGCAAACCTTAAGCAAGTGCCCGTGCTCTTTAGTTACTAAGCCTCCAAAGCAAGAGCATTTAGGATTCTTCTGTCTGTAGATCCTGAATGCGGAAATGATTCGGTCTATCAATACAGAGAAACAGCCAACTCGCCACATGAAGTTAAATGAGGCCAGCTGTTGCATCCAAGCAGAGTTGATACACTACAGCTCCCTCTTTCGCCTTTTCCCGAATGCGTAGCGAAGGTCCTCGTTTAACTTTGGGAGTCTGAGGGTAGAGCGTTGTTCGCATGATGTGGTGGCTCCGTGTTCGCAACCGTTCGTGGCCGTTTGCAACCGTCCGAATGTGATTGATAAGTATGGCCGTGACAGTGCTTTTCGGAAGAGGCTTTTGATGGAAGGCTGTGGCAGATTCGTGTGAAATAGCGTAGAAACGTAACATGATTCTTCTGCGCAGGTGCAGCGTTTCGTGAAACAGTGGGATTGGCGTTTTCAGGGTGGTCTAGTTGAGGCCAAATCGTGTTCAGCTGCTGGAGGAGCCACTGCAATGGGCCAGAGTCAAGTCATGTGTCTTTGTCAAATGTGCCATACTCTTCCAAGATTGTGTGGCAACTTTCAGTTTTCAACTTGGAAGTAGTTCCAAGTTTGCTGTTGAACATGCAACGCGACAAATTGTGACGTTTGCACTTGGCACAGGAATGGAGCGTCTGGGAGCAAATGCGGCTAACGATCGGCAGAGCTCAATGGCAAGCACAATTGCAAGCGCATTTGGCGCCCGGTCATCCCCCAGCCATCCCGCTTGCCTTGGACCAGGGACAGTTCATCGAGCACGGGCCGTGCGGACTGCAAGCATGTGCTAGAAGACGACATGCGAGTTGGCGCTTTGGAAGGGCATGCCACACATGTCACTGCTCTGAGGCTTTCTTTGCGCGTGTGATACGGTCTTTGGAGTTGTGCAGTGAAGGTATTGATCATGCAAAGCCAAATGCTTTCAAGACTGAGAAGTTGCATAGCCTTTGAGAAACGGTTGAAACCAATGTGACCTTTGAGAAACCAATCATGATAGCTTTGCAATTCTCGGCCAAATTTTTTCGCATGTTTTTGTTGAAGAACACAGTGCTTCAGGGTGAAGTCCTGGTTTTTGGTTTAAATTTGTTGAAATTTTCTTGAGTTTGAAGGAAATCATTTCGCCCAAGTGTACTTGTGCACTCGCAGCCTATTTTTCGTCCCAAACTGATTTGGACAAAGGTTAGCCGAACGCCCTCAAAGGAGCTGTCGCCGTGAGCTTTGCGCTCCTGATGGAGGTGTGCGTTCCCTATGTGCCTGTCTGGTGGCAAGCTGGGGTCGAGTTTCAACTATGGTCCGCTCAAGCTTGAGTGTCCCACAGCATGAGAGTGCTACAAGAGTGTCCTGCAAGAGTGACCCGCAAGAGTATCCTACAAGACAAAAGCTTTGCACCAGAGTGCCCCACAAGAGTTTTCAACAAGAGTGTCCTACAAAAGTGTCCTACAAGATTGGTTGTTTGGTTTGAGTGCGTGTGTGCATTCGGGTTCGTGGGTTTCATCTTCTTTCTGTTCTCTTATCCTAGAACTTGCTGCTCGCTGCGCTTGGCTTCTTGCTTCACACTGAAAGACTGTAGGCGGTGGGCCACCAGTCGGCTCTCGCCTGGTTTGCTACCTTCATATTTCTCATGGTACGCAATTCGAGGCCACTCCAAACATGCCTATGGATGAGTCTGCCTGGCATAATTTATGCTTCAGCGCGCAACAAACCTTGACAAAGCCAGGTTAAATTGCTCAGTCGTAAGTGGTCATCTACAAACTTGCAGGGCTCTACATCAATGTTGCAATACTACTCAATGTTGCAGTGCGTGAAATATGCACGTGCCAGGTTGTGCAAATACATTTGCTCGGACCTTCAAAATCGATTTGGATGCCTTGAGGCAGGTTTTTTGAAGTTGAACCATTGGCAATGCAACTGTCGCATCAGGAAGTGTAGTTCGCAAACAGCAATCAAAAGTTGGTGCTGTGCAACATGCCCTTCGTCCACATCGTGCTTAATACGAAGGTGGCGGCTGTACATGCTGCTCTGTCCATGCGAATGTTTGGAACCTATTCGAAGTAGACCAGTTTGATGTCTATAGGGGAGAGTCGTGGTTTAAATTTGCCAAAGTTCCACTTCAGAGATGTCTCTTGTTCAGTCTTGCTCCAAGGTGTTCAGAGCAAGAGATTGATTCATACCTCTCTACAGCAGAAGATGGGGAAAGAGGCACGGCATTTACTGGCGCTCATAGGGCCTCATAGATCTGGAACTCTAAAAGTTCAGAAGGATTCAGAAGAACTTGATCCCAAAAATGATTTGTCATATTGCTCAAGAACTAGTACGAAACTAGTGCGACCAGCATTAAGCTCATTATATAAACCTATGCATGCGCTTGTTTTATCAATTCGCACTAGACCCTCTGTACCCCATGCAAGAAGGGACAAAGGGACAGAAGACTCACGTGCCTACTGCGGTCCAAGATTTGATGTGGGTGCAACATATGAAGGAAACGAAGCAGATACAGAAATAGATGAATAGTATACTGTATAATATACACCAATCATTTGCGATCCGCTAGGTGTTCGTTCAACACTAGCAGCAGCTGCAAAAGCACTGCCGCCAATCGCTTTTGGAGCTCAAGCCTTTGAGGACTGAGGGAGAGCAACTGATCCAAAACGACGCCTTTGGGGGTGAACAGATGCATGGTATCCAGTTTTTGGCTTAAAGGAACACGCAAAGTCGCAGAGGCATGTACAATGGATCATGAATTTCATTATATAATACTAGCAAATTCCAATGAATTCTATTTGAAGCTTTGTGAAAGCCCAATCGTGGAGTCTCTGAAGTTGGAATATGCCAGTGTGGAAGACGGCATAGCAGATAGAAGACCAATTTAAATCATTTTAACATATCTTCAATGGCTCTGATTTCCCGTGTTTGTGGCTTTATTTTGACGGTGGCCCACATTACTTCAGCTCTGGAGGCTCGTTCAGTTCTGCGTATGCACAGATTGTCTCCACAGTCAACATTCGTCCCCCTAAAAAAGCACCTTTGCGAAGCTTGTTTGGACTTGTGGTGGTGCATGCCCCTATCTGACAGACGCCTCTACATTGGCGACCTGCAAGCAAATCGATGCTGGGCGTAGTTGCCAAGAAAAGCTTTGCAGCAGGTGATCAAAGTTGATTTGTGAAACTTCTCTTGATTCGGCCTGGCAGCGCTCCACTACAGACATGAAGAGTTTTCTCGGCTTTCCCAATTTGCATCTCCAATCAAGTCTGTGAAAAAATAACGCTGCGGAGGTGACGTTGTTGAGCGCTGCTACTGCCTTCCAGTTCAAAAGTCTCAGATTCCAAGCACTGCACAGCTGCTGCCGCGACACCTCTTTCATGCAGGTGCATGAAAACGTTGCAAACATAAGACGACAGTAGTTTTGTCGCTGTTTTGTCACGCCACAATCACGGTTCGTAGGATCTCTTGGAACCACACCCAGACCACTTTCTTTGAAGTCTGGGAGACGATTGATTGACCTCAGCAAAACACATTGCAGCTTTAGCTTTTAGTACAGCATGGGTTTTGAACGTTCTGGCGAATCGACTGAAATGTGTTCAGGTTCTTTACTGCTTTTCCCTTTTGGCTGGGCCTTGCTGTACAGGCAGACCTCTCAAGGCCTGTTTGCGGATTGTTTTCACGTGAAGTGTTGGGTCAGAATTATGTGATGCAGGAGCAGCTTAGTGGATGGCACCAGATGTTCCAGGCTAAATATACATCGTTTTGTTGCTCTCATCGATTTGTTGAGGTGGGCACAATGCTTCTTGGGAACACCACGAGGAAATGGACATTCAAGGAAACACTCGCCACTACGTGGTCATACGTGCCTAGCCTTGCAACAACGTCTTCAATCTTCGACTCTACCTTGATCAGACTCAGCTACTTGTGGTGTGGAAAGTAGCACAATCTGTAGTTTTGGTAGTTCTCTCAGACTTCTCCTTCTTGATTAAAATACCAGAAGCAGGGATGAAAGATGTCTATGTCGGTGCTGAGATGAGGTGAGATGAGTTTCTAGTAACTTGAAGCTTCCTGCGAATCGTTGGTGGGAATCGTTTCACCTGTAGTAGCAAGAAGCTTTTAGGTCTTTGAAGCTTAGTAACTTGTAACTAGAAGCAGATGAATTGTTGCATTGGTCTAGCAGGTGCCACTGGGCCAGTTCTTCAAGGCACGGAGCTGCTGCTGGCGGGCAACGCTGGGCGCTTGCCGAGTGTTGCTTTGGAGGCCGCTGCTTTGTGATGCGTTCAGTGATGCCCTATTTGGACTTAACAGTACTCCAACCTTTTCATTTGCTCCTTAGATTAGAATTCTTGGTGACACTTTGGAGCTTTCAAATCATATCCCAAGTCCTCTCACAAACAGAGCACTGTAAGCATGGCAAGTGGCAAGTGATTGTTTTGGAGCAACGGGCCAATCATGATGTGCGCGCTCCTTTGTTGGGTATCTCTTCCATTTAATGCAACCCCCAAATCCACTTTTCGTTTGATATGTTTTTGTTTTACTTTGTTTTCCACTTTGTTTCACATTGTTTCCAATTCGTATAGGCCTCCCAAGTGCAGATGCCGAAACCTTCAAGGCAACCGGCTACCCAGCTGCAAACCAAGCCACATCCCCACTAGTCACTACCTACAAACGCATCTCTACATTGTTCACATTTGTCACAAATGTTCCCTTTCAAACACATTTTCTCACACTTTGAAACGAGGACTTCGTGGATGGAAACCTACCCTACTGTACCAGCTTGGAAGTGAAGTGTTCCGAGCTTCATGGAAATGGCATCTATGCAAGGAAGCCTTTGCTGGAAGGAGAAGTTGTGGAGTATGCACCGAGCGTTTTGCTCATGAGGTCAGAGATGCTTACTTAGACTTCTGTACTTTCTCAGTTTTGTCGCTTTCTTATAAACTGAAACGCCTAGAAGTCAGGCAGCAAGCGAAACTTCTCGAGCTCTTGAGCTAAGGATGGGAAACCTCTTTGTGGATTACCGTTACTCGGCCGAAAGCTTGCGGCAAGGGCTATTTCGACGCATGGCTTGGACATGGCATGTGCAGGTTGAACATGTTTTCGAAGCAGTTTTAACTCCGGAGCAGCTAAAAGATCTGCAGAACAAGTGGTTTGAATGTTCTCCGACTTGGCAGAAAGGACTGCTTTTGGGCAATGGAAGCATCTACAACCACTCAGCTGAGCCAAACCTTGGGTATCGCCGTGTGCGAGTGGATAGATCCAGTGAAGCGGCGCAAGGGCTAAGTGTTTCTTGGTCTTAAAGAGGTATAAAGGGGAGAGAAGCACCAATGAAACTCATCTAACCTGATGAAACCACAGACCTGAAGTACAAATGAAGACGATCAGATGTGTTTCATCCGGAACAAGACCCACCAGGTGGCTTGAGCAAATCACCAGTTTTAGTATCACCCCGAACATTCAGCACAAGATTCTTGCAAAAGGCACACCTCCCTACTCCCCTGCCAGGAGCCCCTAGTAGCTTCTTGTTCCTAGTAGTAAGGCCAGGAGCCCCTAGTAGCGTCCTTGCTCCTAGTAGCGATGCCAGGAGCCCCTTGAATTACACATGTATTGAGAAGTCAACAGCAACGTGCAACCCAAGTGGTCAACCATGTTTGTTTCGAGCAATCCACAGTCTCCCCACTCACTTTTCTTAGAAACAGGTCTCTGCAAAGCCAAGGGAGCAGTTCGAAGGTGAGTCTTGAATGTGTATGATGATGTTTTGGACGTGCAGAAGCAAAGACAAGGAGCCGGTATGTCTCATAGCTGGCGTAGAGTCTCATAGCTTTTGCATGTCTCATAGTTTGCTTGACACAGCTGGCTTTCCAAAAGCCATTTTCCCCAAGCCCGATGTCTCATCCGGCACATGTGTAATGTCGCCTGGAACGTTTCGCTGCTGCGGAGACCTTGAATGGACACGCTTTGAAGGTCGCCCGCAAGCTACAAGTCCTCAGGCCTTTGCCAAAACACCATGTTACATGGTGTCAAGAAACTAAACCTCTGTGGCCATGAATTCAAAAAGGTCTACTAGTAGCAAGAGGCTACTGGTAGCGACGTAACAAAAAGGTCTTGGAGGCTAAAGCTAGCAGGAAATTCGCGCAGGCCCATCCAGCCCATCTGGTGCCTTTCTACCCCACGCAAAAAGACTGCCAAGTTCATTTGCCTGGGAAGACACTTCTACGTCACCACTTTTTAAAGATTTACGCTAGGTGTTTTGATGCTGCGTCTCTACAGGTTAGTGCAATTAGCATTTCAACCTGTAATCAGACAAGGTTTGCTTCTATGCCAAGCGCGACATTGCCGCCGGAGAGGAACTTCTGCATCTCGGCAGTGAGCACTCAATTTGATGAAGGGGAGGTGATTACTGCAGCTAGAGTTGTTTTTGTTGCCGGAGTTTGAAGTTGACCGGTAGCCACGATGACACCCGCCCATGACTATGCTTAAATGTTCAATTGGCCAACTGATCCCATTGGATTCGCTGCCCCAACTGTTGCGCAACGGGCATATCCAGTCATATCCAGCTTGCACAACGGCCCAGTGACATTGGCGTCGCTAGCACTGCTTGCTCATGGTGTCCTACTACTGTACTTAACTTCTTCATATTGCTTGAATAGCTTGTGGTTTGCTTTCAATTGGTTGCATGTTTCACACTTGTCCTGCCATGCATGGAACGGAGTACACAAGGCCTTTAGATGGCTAAAGTGACAAACTGCGTTTGGAAAAGCCATCAAACCACCATTTTTGTTCCACTTGAGGATCTCCTATGGAAAGACTTGGTGGAGCTCTCGTGGTATCCACGATGCCACGGGTGTGCCACAAGCACAGCTGCTTTTACCCGAAGGCAGGGTGACATGGTTAGATGAGCAAGTTTCCTTAGCAACCTGGTGCTATGCGTAGCTACGGTGTGCTTGTTTGATTAGAAAGTGTGACGAAACTTATCCGATATTGTTTTGATGGTTCAGGGATTCATTTGTCCAGTCTCGTTCTTCGGCCCAGGCACTTCCTGTGTGGAACACGCGCCGGAAAAAATTGTGTGCCAACTAACTTGTTTGAAGGAAGTAACAAGAAGCTACTAGTAACAAGCATTTGAGAGTTTTCTCCAAAGACGGTGCAAGCAGATTGCGAGATGTATTCAGATGGTGCACCGGATAGATTTGCTGGTCTGCAGTCGTTTTGACAACTCCTTTAGCAAAAGCAAGCTGCGTAGAGAAAACTTATTCTCTCGAAAGTAGAGTTGGACAGTTCAGAAATGGATAAACACATGCTGTCCCAAAGCGGCCAACTGTGTGGACTGGCAACATGAAAGCCACCTATATAATTATAAGAACTTCCAAAGTAATACTGCTTGAATTGCTGTGGGTCGGCGAGCGCAGTCATGACAATGAAACGCTCTGCAAAAAGGCTTGACAGCCTGCAAAGGCCCAGGACGGCTGAGTTCTTGAGAACTCAACCGGCGTCAACCGCCCTGTAAACGAATTGGCGGATGGAAGCGTTCCACTCTGCAAGGAGGCCCGATTGCGAACCAAGATCTCGCAGCCAGGCAAATCGACGCTCATCCTTAATCTGAAGTCCCATACATTCGCACCAGGGCTTGATCAAACATTTGAAGGCCCTGAAATCGGCAGCAATCCCTGCTTCTCTGAGCAATTCCTGCAACGTCAATATAGAAAGAAACAAAAGCCAAAAGCAAGCATATAGTTGGATTCAGCCAAAGTAGTGGATGATGGTCAAACTAAGAGCAGAGCCATCTGAGACTCCATACTTGTTCTGTCGACAAGCCGCAGAGTCTCATCAGATTGGCTTGTACAAAGTTGTACGCTTTCCAGGATCCCCTTCAACAGAGCATTTTTGACACAATGTGACCGCTTGGTATTTGGTATTATTGCAACGGCATCACAACAAGGGCTAAGAGAAAAACAAAAAAAAGGGGAATGTGTATACAGTGTTCTGGCGTATTGGCACTGTAGATTAGGTGCGAAAAGATGATTGAAACGCGCATGCGCACGCTTTTTCTTTTCAAGTTTGGGATGCAAGACCCAAGCACGATAAGCAGACTTGGCCGTCAGCAGATCAGCTGCAGGATGCTTTGCTGGATGTCCTTCAGGCAAGGCAAGACAAAAGACCAGATTCTGCTAGCCAGAAGAGTTCCTGACGTGACAACTCTTTGTGTGTACGTAAGTATACATATGCAGACATACTTTGTTCTGTCGTAGATTGGTGCCACAGCTACCTGGGCTAAAGAGGGACGACCAGAAGTAGCGCGGATGGTACGTCCAGAGCAGCTTTGTTTGGGACGTCTGCAGCTGCTGCTTGGCTCGCATTTTTTGTGTTTCCACGACCTCCATGCGCCAGCCATGCGCCGCTAGCGCCTGGGACTTGTGGCACTTGTGTGTGCCCGACTTCGTTTTGATGCTTTTTCATGTGACTCGCGCTGGGCAAACTTGCTGCCTTCATGGAGGACGCAAGTGGTTTCTTCATGCTGCGGTGGTGCTGCGGTGGCTGTTTTGACACGTGGTAGAGTCAGCATTAAAAGCAGCGTGAAGGTGGCCAATTCATGTCAGAACTGCGTGCCCCTGCCAATAGATGTCAACATACACCTTGCAGTCGTACGACATTGTCCCAATCGACAGACTGCCCGACAATAAGCACAAACAAAAGGCTTTTGCACAGAAGCATCGAGAGGATTAATTGAAAGTAGAGGGTTTGAAAACTGCGAGCTCACAAACAACGCTCACCGGAGCAGATTCCATGTGATTTGCATTCTCAGCAGCAAGGATGCGGCAAAGAATGCAGAACAATCCTGGTAGTGCCACTACAAGCTCTTTGTGTACCATGGTTGCGTCAAAGGAATCAACTCTGGCAACCAGCTGCAAAGGGAACAGGTTCAAGAGAGGCCCGCTCCGGTGCGTTGGACATTCTCTTGAGGGAGGGGAAGTTGTTTCGTGCAAAGATAGAAGTACTGGTTACCTTCAGAGAATGACGAGTGATGTTTAGGTATAGGTTTGGTTGGCACGTGATGTTTAGGACTGGTCACGTATTTCGAGTCAGACAGTTCACTGCACTCTGTGACATGTAACGCAGGAGCTTGTGCGTTCTGAGGCATGGAGCAGAAGGTTTCTGAGAAACTGGCTGTTGATGTTTTGTATTTTGTTGGTGCCCTTTGTTGCTGCAAGAACTAAATTTAGCGCATTTCTCTGTACAGGCCGACAGCACAAGAGTGGGCCTGATACCCTGGCTGAGAAGCATAACCAGGCGTGAGTCTCATGACGATACAGTTTCGGAGAACTTACTGTTTGTTCAGATTAAAGATTGAGCGATGGCCTCCAACCTAATAGCGATGGCCTGCACAGATCCGAGCAACTTTGAGTCATATAATTAATATTCCGGTATTTTTCTGACATTTGACCTTGTTTGAAGTGTCCAGGACGCAACAATAGCAGGTCTAGCTCTGGTTGGTGCATTGGTTGGTCCAGCAGTGGATGCCATCCACAATCAGGCACTCCTGAGTCCCCACCTCAGTTGAGACATGGCTTTCTGTGAATATTCGATTTTGTTGTAAGCTTTGACGCCGCCTGACTTTGCACAAGAACACAAACATTCAAATCAGGCTATGATCTTTGGCCACTCAGCATGGATGTGGGCTTTGGCGTGGCCAAGACGTCCCTGTTGGTACCGCCTTTGCTTGCAATTGCATATTCGCTCTTAGGTTACATCCTGCCTCAGCTTTTTGGACCCGTTGGAACTGAATCGCTGGAACATTTGCCATTACTTCGTGCAGAACCAGGGAGACGGGCGGGATTGGCCGTGCTTTCCACGTGCCTCATCATCAAGAGCAGTGAGCTTTTGATCAGATCAACAAGTGGACCCTGGGCGTTGCCGGTACTTGTTACAATGGCATTGCTGCAATGGGCTGCTTTAGATGGACGGCCTGCTTCCTTGGCCTTGGGAGTGCTGGCAGGAATTCTGGGTCCAGTTGCGGAAATTCCTTTGATGTACTTAGGTGCATGGCACTATACGGCTCCAGACTACTGGCCATTGGCCTTTTTAGGCTTTGGACCTGGAACTACATGGGCAGGCTTGTCAATGACAACAGGGCCGTGTTACTTTGCTGTTACCACTGATGCTATTGCATTGGGACAGCTCTTTTCTGGCAAGCAGGTTTTGCCAAGAAGCCAAAAGGGGTCAAGCGCCGGTTGCAGGAGTGCTTGACGTCCGATAGCCTGCTGGATGGATCACTATTTATGTAAGGCTCAGATGACTACACATGTTTACTGTGCATAGATGTATGTATATAATGTAACAATATTTTCACAGATGTCACTGCTGATCGGCTTCATTCTCAAGAGGTTCGTGGTGCACCACAAGCTCTTCTGTTTTTGGAACCTGACGTTTGATTTGGATCGAACAAGACAACACGCAAACATGAAACAGGAAGATCAAAACAACTCTAGTCTGGTGTGATTCTTGGAGTTTTGAACTTGTTCTTTGGAAGACAGATTCGGCTTGGGCACCAGAAGGACAGGTCATCTAGGTCATCTGACAAGAAGGTTTGAGGTCTGATGAATGCGGTGGGATATTGCATCCTTCATCGAAGAGCACAGATTGCCGACAGGTCGTTGCTATTCCACCCCTCACCTGGTGCTTTCCAGATTTTAGCAGATTTTCATAGATTTTCGGGTGGAGCCACTAATCTCGTTGTCAGGTGCGCATATCGCGAAAGAGCGCCCGGAGGCTGTTTCGGCAACTGGTTCCTCAGACGAACTGAGTAAAGCAGTGGCAGCGATACATGGGCTTTGGATTTCTATTGGGTTACAAACAAGCTCTTCCCGAATGCAAGCAAAGGCATGGGAAGACGACGCTGACCCACTTACTGAACGCATGTTTAGCAGCAAGCACCACGTAGATAATCCAGAAATACATCGTGAAGATGAACCTTTGCGCATCAAGCCAAGGCTTCTTTGCCGACAAGTACGGCACCGATAGGCAGCAGCGGAACTACAGCACAGCTTACTCAGCTGAGCAATGTCAAGTTGGGATCCCAGTCGACTCAGAACGTCACTGGCAGAGTGTGAGATCATGCACTTCAAAGACTTTGTCTCCAGAAACGGACTTCACAAATCTTCACAACGAATGCAAGGCTGGAAGAAAGCCTGAACCTGAGGGCTTCCAAAATGGAAAGGGCCAAAAGGGCTGTACGGAAGCTGCGCTTTTCTTGTGTAAAGTTTAAAGCCTTTGAAGCTGTTTGTGCCTAGTTTCACTCGCAGTTTTCATCCAGATAGCAAAGCTATGGGGTTCTTACTTCAAATAACAATGAGTTGCCCGTGCGTGCTTTTGAGACAGGTTGCTGGTGCTGGGTGCTGGTGCTGGTGCTGTGAGCTGGCTGTGCATGTGGTGGAGACAGGTTGCTGGCGCCCGGTGCTGGTGCTGGGTGCCGGGTGCCGGTGCTGGTGCTGGTGCTGTGAGCTGGCTGTGCACGTGGTGGAGACAGGTTGCTGGTGCTGGTGCCGGGAGCTGGTGCGGAGACAGGTTGCTGGTGCTGGTGCTGGGTGCCGGTGCTGGTGGTTGGTGGTGTAGCTTGCATGTGTGAGGGGGTCTATTCCCGGCTCTTACTTCAAATATGACGGCGATGGTGGTGTGAGGTGGCCGTGCACGTGGTGGAGACAGAGTGCCTGGGTGCCGGGTGCCGGTGCTGGTGTGGTGCTGTGAGCTGGCTGTGCACGTGGTGGAGACACGGTGCCGGTGCTGGGTGCTGGCAGTGCACGTGGTAGAGACAGCGGGCGCCGGCGCCGGTGCTGTGAGCTGGCAGTGCGCGTGGTGGAGACTGGGTGCCGGCGCTGGGCGCTGGCTGTGCGCGTGGTGGAGACAGGGTGCCGGGTGCTGGGTGCCGGGTGCTGGTGCTGGGTGCTGGGTATACCGATGCTGGGTGCTGGTGCTGGGCGCCGTGAGCTGGCGTGCCGGTGCTCGGTGCTGGTGCCCGCTTCTGACAGTGAAGTGATAACAACTTCCGCCGCTTGCAGCAGTGAAGGGCGACCAAGCGCCGCTTCTGACAATGAAGTGCCAGTAGTCATGGGCCGCGTGAACTTATTCACGCAACATCATACGGTGTTGTCGCTTGAGCGTTCTTTGTCTATTAGCGCGCTCTTCAGGTCCTGTTTTGGCCGACAGTTGTGTCAAGGGCTGTACTGTTTGCGTGCATACTTTTGTACGTATACGTATAATGTTCTATGCGCAACGTCAGGCTCTCAACCGGCCATTGTTTCAGCGTGCTACACACACAATAGTCGTGCTGGATACTGCTTGGCCTTGGGCGAGCGAAGCCTACGGGCTTTGCCGTTTGTGCGCATACTTTTGCGCGCATAATCTTATACGCGCGAGATCATACGGCCTTATCGTTCTGCAGATCGTTGCTTCAAGCATGCTCCAAAGTCAATAGTGGCGCTGGATACTGCTTGGCCTTGGGCCAATGACACTTACGGGCTTTGCTGCTTGTGCGCATACTTTTGTGCGCATAAACGTATACGCGCAAGATCATACGTTGTTAATCACCGAACAGGGACAGCTATGTGGTTCTTGCTGCAAATAAGAATGAGCTGGCTGCGCGCTTTCGAAAGGGTGTCGGTGCTGGTGCTGGTGTTGTGGTCCTGGGTGCTGGTGCTGTGAGCTGGGTGAGTGCGAAGACGGGCGGCGGCGCTGGTTGGGTGTTGGCGCCGCTGCCGGTGTTGTCAGCTGGCAAAGCGCACCGGTGCCGGTGTCAGCTGATTGTGCGCGCTGTGGAGGTGCCGTAAGCTGGCTGCGCAGGCTGCGTGCATTCTTGTTCCAGCCAGTCGCATGTCAACAGGTCGTGGGATTCTGTTAGGTATCTGGGTATTTGTGTTTGTGTTTTCCGTTTTGCTCCGTACCTTTGCCCAGATAGCGAGAGCTATTGGGGTTTCTACTCTGATTCAAGTATAGGAAGAGGTGCCTGTGTGCGCTTTGGAGCTTGGGTGCTGGTGCGGCTGCAGGGTGCCGCTGCCAGACGTGTGGCCGCTGCAGGGCCCCGCCTGAGGGCACTGTTGCGACGCGTTGGAGCCTGGGCACTGGCACTGCTGGAGGGTGCTGCAGAGTGCCGGTGGAGTGTGCTGCCCACAATATTTTTTTTGTTTCCTGGGGTTTTGCTGGCGCAAAAAGTCGGACATGAAACGTGTTTGTGACATGTGACCTTCCAAGGCCAGCCGGTTTCTCCACCAAGGCACGCACCTATTTCAAACAGGAAGACCAAGCCACCATGATTGTAGGAATTTCCTTTGTTGCAGTGAATGTGTACTACCTGTTCTCGAACGCCACAGAGCACAGACCCCGCTGTGAAGAACCTGAGAAGCGCGTTTGAGGAGAAGTGCTTGGACTCAGCCAGAGAAAGGCATGGATACTGTGCGAAAGTGATCCACATGTTCTCTTGACTTGAGAACGAACAGCTCCCAAATATCTATCATGTTTTCCTTTTCAATTCTTTTCATACTCTTGTTTTGGTGAGTAACTCAGCTCAGCTTGTGTCGGGGTTCCGGATTGGTCGCCAGGTCTATCTCGCAGCAGATCAGAAGGGCGTGGCTTGTTGGAAAAATACTTAAACCACGAAACCCAAGCTACCTGAATCCACCGAACTTGTGGCTACGGGTTGGTGAACCTCCACAGCGGCTCACGCTACACATCAGTTTGTTTACCTATTAGGTATTAGTATGTACAGTATTAATAATAACTCTTGGAGCTTCTGCCTGCACAGAAGCTTTTTCATGGTGTTTATATGCGTTTCCATGTCTAATGCAACGAAACGTCATTGAAAGTCGAGCCACGAAAATGACAGGACAATTTGCTGCTTTGAATATGTGGCTTTGTCCACGAAATTTGTTTGCTGTTTAATGTGGCGTACCACCAAGCAGATAGAGAGGAGCACATGCAACAGCTACAGACAAAGTCAAGCAAATTCACAGACCATCAGACGGGAACATCCCTGCACTCAATTCCTCTGAGCCTTACATTTTGCTCCCTCTCCAGGCACTACTGTGAAAGTGGCACGTCCGGAGGCAGGATGGGCAATTTTGTTGGGCACTTATCCTACCATCGCTTTAAACCCTTAGTGACAATCGTATGTATTCTGGTTTGGGACTGCTACTTGCGCATAGGGAAAGAGTGCCCCGCAGATTGCAAGAAAATGACAGCTGAAATCCCTGCTAGCTGTGGTTCTGGGGGCCAGCGGCATGTTGGCCAGGCGCGGACTGAGACCGCAGCTGCCAAAAGGCGTGGATTTTGACGCAGCGCTGTATATCAGCCACTTTGCAGACTAAACCAATCATTGGCACGCCGCGCAACACCGTAGCCCCTTTGCAGGCCAGCAGGTGGCGCCAGCGCCTCAGACAGTACAAGCTACTGCGCTTCATGCTCCCGCTGCTCCCGCTTGCTCGATGCACATGGCTCTGGACATATGAGTTTCACACAGAGTATTGAGGCGACTGCGCAGATGCGTAGGTGGTCACAGGAGGTCTTTGATATCGCAGTTGTGTGTGTGTATATATTTCAAGCTTGCGTTTCTTGCGCAACGGAACCATGAAAACCCCATGTATGCAATTTCTTGGCTCAAGTGCTTTTGATCGACCGTTGAAGCTTTCATGGACGGTGGCCACACGTCGGTGTTGCTTTGTGTGGTCACCCATTTGGTACGTTCATTGTTGGATTGGTCTGGGAAGGATCAGCTAGAGACAGAGCTGGCACAGTTGCGGATTGAGGTTCACAGAGCAAAAGAGCTGGTGTCCAGCTTCAACACTGTGTTAGATTCCTGTGAGCGGTCCAACGGTTGGCTTTGAATCACCAACAAAACACTAGGCTTCTTTTTGGCTGGATTGATTTTGGCTATTGCTGTGATTGGCTGTGTGATCTACTGGAAGGTGGTGACGTGGCCTGCTACAGAAACTGGCAGGAATCATCCTCCAACCCCAAAGCCTTTGCCAGCCCCTTCCACGGCCCGTGGAGGACCTGGGAGGCCATCCACGCACCCGCGTGGGCGTGAGTTGACTCAGTAGACATGGACAATAGGAGCCTCAACATTCCTGACCCGCAGATACTGTTGCATTACTTTCATGATGCGGGAGGGTTCTATCATCACCACCGAGTTCTCCTCTTCAGGGTGTCCCAAGGCACTTGGGTCTTACTATCCCCAGACCTGGAGCTGGAAGTAGTCGACTTGACTACCAGACGACATAGGATTGGGGGGCGCCATGCTCCGCTGCCGGATGACATAGCTGATGAGTGCTACATCTTTGATGAGCTGCCGAAGGCAGAGTTGGAGCGACAGAGGCGCCTAGCAAAGACCATGGGCGCCATTTTGGGAGATGCTGAAAGTGTGGATGTCGAGTCCATTGGATGGTATGGTGCGGATCCGTCTTCCAAGAAGTTTGGGGAGGCATTACCAAATTATCTGGTGGGAGACATTGTAGCGTTGGGTCAGCATGGTGTTGTGCAATGGGATGACAATTTTGAGTTTGTGCGTGAGATGGGCAGTAGTGAAGTTGAGAAGTTCAGGGAAGAAAAGAAGGATTCCTTGGGTGATGCTCGCTTGCTTGGTGATCATCGCGACGCACAGGGAAAAAGGCACATGACCCTCCAGGATGCCTTGACTCTGATGTCCCAGGAGAAGTTTGATGATTGGAGCTTCTCGGGGCCACGAGCGACCAAAGAATACCTCACATCCATTCGAGATGGGCCAGGTGATCTTTTGAGTTACCACACTGGATGGGTTCGAGCGTCAGGTGTTGCCCCAAACTCTGCTATCTCACATGAGCACAAAAACTTGATTGAGACCTTGAGGCTTGGATTTTCCAAAGATCAGTTGGATCTGTCGAATCTGTGTTCCTTCGAAAACATTTGTCGGCGCCTGGTCGTGCTTGAAATAGCGGCCTCCAGAAACCCTTCTGCCCCAGATTTTACTGGACTTGATGTGGTCACTGAGGCACCCATTTCTCAACATGGTCAGGCACAGGCGTCGACGGTGACCAGTTGGGTCACGGAGAGACTCAAAGAGCGAGCGCAGATCCAAAAACAATCGCGTTTGTTCAAAGAAGAGTTTGGCAAGACCAAGAAGGCTGGATATGGTGAAGAGGAAGATCAGACAGGCACAAAAAACAAGTGGAGGCGAAAGAAGAAGCAGGACAAAGACGCTGGCGGAGCGGCGGGCTCCGCTGGCGCGAGTTAGCTGCATTTGCCCCAAGACATCAGCTTCGTTTGCTCCAGGGGCTGGTGTCGTCAAGATTCTTTTTTCCAGGAGCTTCCATGGATCAGTTCCAGGACCGACGCCGACACGGCGATCCATTCCCTTTGAATTTAGACGAGGTGACTGGACGGGCTGTTGATGGCGGTGTTTTTGAACCGCAGCGAGCTCGATGGATCGGAGACTCTCTGAACAGGCTTGCTTTGCGTGACATGAATTCATTTAGTTCTCCTATTTTGCTCTCAGCTCGACAGCCGACAGTAGTTCAAGACTTTGTCATGGATCGTATAGTTGACTCTTTGTTGTTGCACGGTGATAAGCCGGTTGATGTGACAGCGGAGTCTGCCCTGGCCGATCTTCAGGCTGCCGAAATCTCCTATGATGGAACGCCGAACAATCTTGCCAACTACGATCCGGGAAAGTTGAAAGTCCTGCGATCCCGGGTCCAGCCAAAGAGGATAACCAAGTTTTTGCCACCAGAGCCTGCGAAACTAGTGGAACATTATGAAAGCCAGATCATTTCTCCCGAACATGAAAATCACGATAGCTTCAGTCCATATTGGGACCCCCAATTAAGATTCGATAAGACAAAACGACTTGACTTCATCCTGCGGTTACATCGTAGTGGATTGGTTAGTCTTCGTAAGTCCCCCAAATCATTCATCGGTGCCTTCTTTGTTAAGAAGAAAACGCCTGATGCCATTCGAATGGTCCTTGACTGCCGTGGAACCAACCAGCTACATCAACCCCCTCCGACCACCAGGCTGGGATCAGCGCGTGGATATGCTGACCTCGACCTGTCAGATGAGCCTTTGGAGTCGGGATGGGGAATTGAAGCCGATGTCAATGATGCCTTCTATAATTTTTCCATACCTGAGCTGACGCACTACTTCGCGTTCAATCACCCGATGACTGCCTCAGAATGGACCAAGGTAGGTATTAATGGGGATAGTGTGTATGATCCTCAACTTAGGCAAATGACCCCAACCGACCCCGATGAGATTCTCTTTCCTTGCGTGGAAGCCGTGCCAATGGGATGGTCGTGGGCGTTGTTCCTGTGCAACGAAGCAGTTCTTAACATCTGCCGTTCGAATGCACCTTGGGTCGATGGGATCTTTCGAGAAAAGAAGGTTGCGCCACAGATGAGAGATTTTAAGACATCTATTGGGGTTTATGTGGATAACATCACAGTCATTGGTAGGTCTAAGGATGATGTGGAATTGCGTGCGCAGTCCATTGCTGAGGCCTTCCGAGCTGCGGACATCCCAATCACATGGACACAGCATGAGCCAGTGAAAAGCCTTGAGTCAGTAGGATGCGTGCTGGATTTTGAACGGAAGACCCTTCACAATAAGCCTAAAAGAATTTGGAAGTTTCATCTGGCTACCCGTGCCATTCTTCGTAGGGATAAAGTTAAGGGGAAGCTTTTGCAAATCTGGGCCGGCCATTTCACTTCACTTTGCGCACTTACCCCATGGGGTTTGTCGTGTTTGCAAGACCTTTATCGGTTTATCGAAGTTGCCAAGGTGAAACGCATGAAACTGTGGCCGTCCGTGAGACGTGAAATCAAAGTTGCCTCTGCAGTGGTGTGGATGACATGGCGTGACCTAGCGGCTCCCTTTAGTAAGGTGGTTGAAGTTGATGACTCATCCAGCTCCGGTTATGCTTTGGTGTCGTGCGAGCCTGGTCTTGAACGGATCAGGACGGCCACCAAAGTTCATGAGAAGTGGAGGTTTATAGCCATGCCGGAATGCCTCAAAGCCGCGGCAGTTAGCTGTGATAGCAAAGCTTTTGAAGAGAAGCTGCTTGAGCTGTTGGGTCCTGTTGCATCCGACAAAAAAGAATTGGCCAAACCTGTCACCAGTGCAGGTCTCACCACTGAGTATGGTCGGATGGTCCTTGACTCCATGCAGGAGGGTTCATGGCTCAGTACCTCGGCTATTAGGTCCCAAATCAGGGCGGCCCCGTCAAAAAGGGTTGATGTTGATGTTCCTGCTCTTATCGAACCAGTTGATGATTTTTTCGCCAACAGGCAGAATTTTCGTTTGCTGTGGTCTAGGAGGTGGAGGGATGTCCGTGAACATATCAACATCAAAGAGTGTCGAGTGGCAGTATCAGCCTTAAAGCGGGCCTCAAGGGTAAGGGAACTAATGGGGCATCGTAAGTTAACCCTTTCTGATAATCTGGCAACTGTGGCGGCCCTAAGTAAAGGTCGCAGTTCCGCGTTTAAAATGAATAGGCTTTGCAGATCCGCAGCAGCAATTCAGTTTGGATGTGGACTTGTCTGGTCGCTTCGCCACGTAGAGACCAAACGGAATGTGGCTGATGAGCCGTCCAGGAATTTCGAAAGACGGCACAGGGGCCAACGTGCAAGTCCTTGTGCAGCAGAACCGGTGTGTGATCCATGTAGTGGGCACTTGAATGAGCAGCCACTCGAGCACTCTGAGGTCACCCCATAATGCTGCATCCCAATCTGTACCCATAGGACGTGGTCAGTTCTTTTTGGAGTTGTTTGCGGGCACTGGCAATTTGTCCAAAGCCGTGGCCAGACAAGGAATCCCAGTTCTTGAGCCCGTCGAGATCGCCGATGATCCAGCTTTTGACCTTCGAAGACGTGAAACTCAGCAGCTCGTCTTAAGATGGATTAGGAGTGGAACTATTGGGTTTATTCATCTGGGTACCCCTTGTACCATTTGGTCGCGCGCTAGGCATGGTGTTTCTAATTCTGCAAAGAACTTGGCTAAAGAAGCGGTTGGTCTGGAGCTTGCGTTGTTTTCATGTGAAGTGATAGTTAAGTACTCACTTGAAAACCCTGCTTCCTCTCGCCTCTTTTCCTTTGAGCCATTGATTCGCGCTTTGCACACAGGGGATCTCTATCACGTTTCGTTTGATATGTGTAGCTATGGGGAACCCTTCAAGAAAGAAACCAAGATTGTAACTTCTTGTCAAGAGCTTCAACGCCTTGAGAAGCATTGTCAGCACAGACGGCACAGTGTCTGGCTCAAAGGGCAAATTAAGGTCAAAGAGCAGGGACGTGAGAAGTTTCGCAACCGAACCACCTTGGCTGGGGCTTATCCCACTAGCCTTTGCGAGTCGTTTGCCCATGCCCTAGTTGAATCACGTTCTTGCGCCGCCCATGGTGAAACGGATTGTATCATCCAAAATCACTGGACCACAGCGATTAGGTGTTATACGCCGAAGCGGCTCAAATGCAAACCTGCCAAAGCCAACAAGACTAAGTCGACTGGGGGTTGTGAAACGAACACCCTTGAAGACTGCAACTTGCTCGAAAAAGCTGGCGGGCTCACAAAATACTTTGACTTCATTGCCCTCGGTCGGCAACACAAAGAAGCCTGGGACTATCTCAAAAAGACCGAAGCAAAGCGCCGCCGCCAAGTCGCAGCGGTACGAAGACATCATCAAGAGATGTCCTCCCGAGAGACGCTTGAGAGTTAAGCGTGTCCGAGCTGATACTGTGTTGCATTATGCCGAGTCAGTTGACCATTTTCTGGAATGGTGCCGTTCACATGGCCGAACATCCAGCAACTCAACTAAGGTCGACCGTGCTATGAGCATTTATTTTGATCAGTTGTTCGAGGACGGCTGTACACTGTCCACTGCTTCGTATACACTGTTCGGATATATTGCTCTTAAATGCATCCCGGATAGGCCTGAAAGAGATATGTTTCCTTTGAGTCGCTCAGCCTTGGGTGCCTGGAGGGGATCGCGTGCGGGATCTAGCCGTGTGGGAATGGTGCCGCAAGTGATTTTCCATTTTGCATGGTATTGCGTACAGTTGCAACAAATCCACGCTGCAACAGCAGCTCTTTTGCAGTTTGACCTTTACGCAAGACCTTCTGAAATCCTGCAGCTTCGGGGCCGTGACTTGATTCCATCAGTCGCTGCGTTTCAGTCGCCTTGGGGTGTGTTGTTTGGAAATTCAGATTTCGGCGAGTGCACAAAGGCTGGAGCACAAGATGATGTTGTTCTGGCTGATAGCCCTCATCGACCGTGGTGCAAAAATATTTTGAAGCACCTAGGAAAATTTCTTGCTGGAAGGATGCGAAAGTTTTCCAACTTACGCTGCCACAATATGAAACACTGTTCCGAGACTTTTCAAAGCAGTCAGGTCTGAAAGCGGGCTTGTTTACACCTCATGTGATTCGACGCTCAGGTCCATCTTTTGACTTGATAAATAAGTATCGGGATATTGATACCATTCAGTCGCGAGGCAGATGGGCTTCTGCTCAATCGGCTGCACGTTATAGAAAGCCAGGTCGTTTGCTGATGACTGCTGCCAATCTCCCTCACAAATTTCGTGCTTACATTGAAGTACCATTGCATTCAGCTCTTCAACAGATTTTGAGCTGTTCATGGGCCTTGCCCAGAGACCCTACTTAGGGGTGTGGTGGTGCATCATGCGGTTGTTAAATGTGGCGATCGCAAACAGTCAGTGCAATGTTCGATGATGACCCTTGACCTGCTGAGAAAGGAAACATCTTGCTGCGGCAGTGACTGGGTTGGGACGGTGAAGTGTGCAGCAATTTCAAGCTTGCGTTTCTTGTGCAACGGAACCATGAAAACCCCATGTATGCAATTTCTATCCTCAAGTGCTTCCCAGATCCCGCCCACCGCTCTTGGTGGTGCATCATGCGGTTGTTAAATGTGGCGATCGCAAACAGTCAGTGCAATGTTCGATGATGACCCTTGACCTGCTGAGAAAGGAAACATCTTGCTGCAGCAGTGACTGGGTTGGGACGGTGAAGTGTGCAGCAATATATATATATATATCTATACACACTGTCTAGCTTGGTTAAGGGGAGGCATGACCATGCAGGTTTTCTTCTAACTGTTAGACTCGTCTCTTGGGTTTGGTAGCTATCTCCGGATTCGAGGTGCATTTACAGGAACAAATCCGTCAGCGCTGGCAGCATGGCCTCCGCGAGAAGAGTGAGAGCTGGACGCTAAAGTCATGGACAGCATGAGCTTGGTTCTGCCGGTTATTCTGCCTCTGCTTTTTTACCTCAAGACATCATTGTTGAATTGCCTCTCTAAAGAGACGCGTTTGGATCATGATGGATCATGAAGAGTGCACATACTATAACTTGATCGTTTGACAATCCGTCGGTAGAGCGAAGGCCCCGAAGGCTCCAAGGTGTCTTCAAGGAGGCCCGGTCAAAATTGCAATAGCGGAAGGCTGAAGGGTTGTTGAAGACGAAAGAACTGAAGGGTTTATTCTGTAAACTGCTTAGCTGTTGTTTGCGGTAAAGCCTTTGCAATCTTGGTTGAGCGTCGCTTCTTCTCAGTTGCTGAGAATCCTGGCACTTTCCACCTGGTTGTGCTTCTAAGGACTTCTATGTCCTGAGTACAGGAGCCTCATAACCTAAATAGTAAACATGTGACTTTAGTCACAGTCAGCGCAACAGCCAACGCCCTGCTTTTGACTGCCAGTTACACATAACTTGGCTTCTTTGTTTCTGGCTGTGGTTGCTGCATTTTCATGTCCAATACTACATTTACATGTTTTCTGCAGCAGGTCTTCCTTGAAAGCATCCCCACCGCCGGAGGGCTTGGCACTGTCACTGATTGGGTGGGTACTCGGACACACTGAGAACCACATGTCAGCAGGAATTACTATATATATATATATCTATAAAATATATATAACATATATATATATATATAAGTGTGAATCCTATATGGAACCCTGTCCTTCTGGAGTCCTAGACTGTCCTCAGTCACCCCTGTCCCTAGACACCGAACCCCTGGTTTCTCCTCGGTGTAAATGCCTCTTCCCACCCACCACTGCATTGAGACGGCGAGTCATCAGCGGTCATCAACCATCAATGGACAAATCACATACGTTAAAATCTCTATGTTTTCTTCTCCTGTCCATCTTTCTTAACCCATAGGAGTTTGTTTCTACGGTCTGCCCTCTCTTTCAGGGTGGATTCCTCATCATAAAGGCTGTAGCGACCCTCCTTTAGGCACAGGCGAAGTAGTGACCCGTCCATTGATTTGGTTAACGAGCCAGCAAGTTGAGCCCTTGAACTCACCCAGCGGATGCGGCAGCTTTCCTTGAGGCGTTCCCTAATCAACAAACACTCAAGGCACGTTCTGTATTCCTCACATGAGGGAACTGAAGTCCGGGTTGCAATGTCATAGACTGACTTGCAGTCTGTAGCCACTGCCGCTGGATGATCTTCGCTCAGAATTCGGCTGGGATCTGTTAAGTCAATTGATGGATCAACCAGCCATTTCCAAAACAAGCGGAGCCATGACAATCTGTCAAGACATGAGCTCAAAGCGACTGCTTCTGCACTGAGGGTTGACCTCACTACCCGAGCTATCTTCCTTGAAGACCAAGCCATAGGGCATACCACACTTGGTTGGTTGTCAAGAATCCTCTTATCGGCGGCGAATATTATCTGGCCTTGTCTGGATGACAGCTCTCGGCATGTGGCAAATGAGGCATCCGAGAATGCACAAAAGGTGAGAGTGTTCAACGGCAATGGAACAATATGCAGGCATACTGGGTGTGTCTTTGCTTCATGGAGTACGCGGTTCAAGGTGAGCATGTCTTCAACCTTAGCTCTAGTCACCTTTGACTGAATCTCACCTATCTTAGCGGCCAGATCTGGCCGGGTGTTCACCGCCGAGTACTGTAGAGAACCTACCAGTTGCCTGATCTCCTGCCTTTCACTCTCAGTCACCGGGTCTTGGAGTTCTGCTCTTCTTGTCTTGGGGATTTGAATAGGGGAAATCTTCTCAATGTAATCCCTTTGATCAATCTCAATCGAACCATCGTCCCATTGAAAATACTGAACCCCACAGAAGATGAAACTCTTTTCCCGGTAGGCACCAAAACTGAATTTTTCTTGGAGACTTGTCAGGAACGTGTGGAAGTATTCATCACCTCCACCTATCCCATCATCCACATGAATCCCGAGCACCCCACGAACCTGAGGTCTTTGGTCTGGTCCCTCGGTAACCAATGAAAACACACAATTGTCAAAAGGACAAGAAACAACTCCCAAACTCTCAAGGGTCTTCTTGAACGAGGTGTACCATAAGTAAGGACCATCCACCCGACCGTAAGCTCCGCCCTGAAGGAGGCATTGATCATCTCCTTTCAGCTGGAGGGCTTGTGCCATCTCTGGAGGTGCTTCCAAACCAAGACGTCGGCCGTCCCCTTCCCCTTTGAGAAAGGCAGTAGACACGGCAAAGTTGATCAGCTTCCATTTCCTGCTACTTACTGTCTGGAGCAATAGCATCCTCCCATCCTTGCTCAAAGTGGGGGCGTCATTTGGGACATATGATAACCCAAGATCGGTGAATCCCAAAACGACTAAACGCGCTTTCGCCCGCCTCTCTCCACCCGGGGTCTCGGGGGGCTTCCAAACAAGGATCCACCTGCACCTCATAATTTCCTCTGGCCGAAGAGTTCCAGCCGTCACGCGTTTGACCGTGCCATGGTCTAACCATGCCTTGAGCTCTTTGTTCTTGGCAGCAGAAAACTTGGCTCGGTCCTCTGCACTCAGGTCCCCCCACCTTACCTCAATCCTCTCCTTCTTCGGACTGGTGGTCAAAAGGGTTTCACACACCTGCATGCATGAACAGCATTCTTCTGGGGTGAGGGTAGCCCAGGGACCATCCTTGAAAGTGATCTCAAAGCATGATTCTGTGGACCATGTCTGGTCATCTCCAAATGCGAACAGCTCATCATCACTTGGGACGGGAACATCTGTTCCGTCAACTTGCATGTCATCGCCATCCCAAGTTGGCACATCGGGTGCCGAACCTTCATTTGGAGAACTTGGGGGTGCAATTTCACTTTCTGGCTGAGAACTGGGAGGGATTTCAACATCAACCATGTCGCTGGGAACTTCACTTGGTTCATACTCCTCATCAGGAATCTCCTCTAGCGAAATGAAATCCTTTGGACCCCTCCCCTCTGCCAATTCTTCGGGTTTCACTCCCCCTGATGAATCCCTTGGAAGGAGGCGGTATTCTCGGAGAGAAGCTGGTCTAACCTGTTCAGGACTCGCTCTTACCAACCTTCCCCCATGACTCAACCACAACACCCTACTCCCTTCAACAGCTATCACTTGTGAGGGACCATACCACCTACCTTTCTCTCTCCGGGAACTTTGTTGGGTCCTCTTCCAGTAGGGTACCCAATCCCCCTTTTCATACATGTCACAACTAGGGCGTGTTCTTCGAAGCAACGCACGGCGAAAGCTTGAATCGTTGTCTGCAGAAATGAAACTCCGTCTAGCCTGTTCTCTTCTCCACAGACTTTCCCTAAACTTGATTCCTTCTGGAGTTCCACTCTCTGCCAAAACATGACTACCTGCAAGGTCGTCTGAAACAAGGGAGCCAGGGAGAGTACGAGCCTTACCCAAAAGAGCTTGTTCGGGTGTGAAACCATTGACCCTGCTCAAGGAATTCTTCGCTGCAAAAGCATGTCTCAGACAGGCCCGGAACTCATCCTCGTTTTGTATGGGTTGTTCATTGTCCATCCTAGTCAACATCCCTTTTATGATGGCTCCATGTCTTTCAGTTCGACCTAACTGCCATGGTGAACCGCCAGCAGTCATTGCCAATTGGATCCCTTCCTTTTGAAGGAAATCCCGCCACTTGTCTGTGACATACTCCCCGGCTGGGTCAACATACAAGGTCTTACATGGCCCTGCCCATTGTAACCATGTGTCCTCAAATGCCCGGATCTGGTCTTCGGTGGTTCTACTGCATGGAGTCCCCAAATGAAACAGCGTACCCTCATCAAGGAAATGAACAAAATAATAACTCTTTCCCATCTTCCCACTCCCCAATACACCCCATCACATCCTACCTCATCGTTAAAGTCCAAGTCTCGGTGTATGGTTCCGGGTTTGCTAGACATGGGGGCTCCTACAGTTTCCGCACATGTCGGGCATTGGAACTCAGCTGCTCCGTCCAAAATTTCTTGTGGTGATCCTCTCTCCCTAAGGAACTTCACAAAAAGATCCGTTGAGGGGTGTCCCAAATTCTGATGGAGTTTGCTGATATCCTGGCGCTTCTCAGATGACAAGCGGTTGTAGGCGGGGCCTGACACCGCAATTGGTCTGGGAGCCCATCCAGTGGTATCCTGACTTGCTAGTTCTTTTCCTTCCACTACCTCTTGGGACTCCTTTTGGACAGGTACCATCTCAACATCCATGTCCTCCCCCCGTGGTTTCCCAAAAATGGTAATCGCAAGTCTGGAAGGTCCACATGCTCGGATGCGCTTCAGCTTACTCAGTTTGAGCCATTCCTCCGGGGGACCCGTGTCCACACATTCCCCAGTCTGTCTGTGAACAAAAACTGTTTTCCTTAGGGGTATGGACTCCGTGTCGCTTTCGTTCGGTGGAATGCGATATCGATCAGTTCCACGACATGAAATGACCAACCGGACATCCATCTCTGGGACTTTTGACCCAATTCTTTCACTCAATTCCCTTCCAACTGTGTGAACACCAACTCGTGGCGTTTCCGATGACCCACTTTTCATCAGGTCGTCCCATGATATGTCCTGGTGATCGTCAAATGCAGGTGGTCTTGCTTGTTTAAAATCGCATCTCCGCCGCTTCAGCCGCAAAGACTCGAGAGCAATTCCTCGAGAATCTGCCGATCGTTTTTGCCCTTCGGAAGCCTCAAAACCTGCCAACAACTCTTCAACAACAAGGGGGTCCTCACCACTCTCCCTACTCCTAACAACCACCCTCACTATGTGTTGTGCAAAGGTTGTGGTGTATCGTGCGGCGAATGCTGATATGTTCTGTTTGTATTCCTGGTATGTGTAGCTTCCTTCAATGGTCTGGTGTTCATGCTTTTGTTGGCACCACTTGCCATGGAGCATCTGGTGAATCAACCTGGATGTCGTCTGGACGTTGGAGCGCTTCCGAAGGTACTTGTCCGTTCCCGGAACTCGCAGCATGCCAACGGTGCACTGGTCGAAGGAGGCTGTCAAAGTTCCCGACATGATGTCATATACTTCTGGTTGTTTCAACATGTCTGAACCTTGAGGTTGCTCCAAACGAAAGTGTCGTCCATGAGAAACTTGATGCCAATAGATGTCATTACATAACTTCAGATACCTTCTTTCGAACTCTCGCATGAACAAAATACGTGATTCGGATTCTCTACTTCGGGTCATGTTCAGGGATTGGGGAAAACAAAAGATCTCCAAGAGGTCAACGGGCCGATCATACTCTGGATCACACACCGGTTTCTGAGGTCGCTGACGAAAAGGTCCTTTTGTAGGTAAAGTGGACAACCCGTCCTCAATCGTTTGAACAACTTCCGTCAATCGTTTCTGGACCTCAGCAACTGGAATCTTCGAATTTGTCACCTTCGGTTCACTGTCGGGTCTCACGGGGTCTCCGGCGCCGGCGGGGCATTCTGGGTCTCGTAGCCGTGTCGAGCCAATTCCCTCTGGAGCACTGCGATCTGAGTCTGAAGAGCTTGAATGTGCGGCTGGTTTGGCTCGATTGCCATCGGCTTTTCGTCTTTGGCTTTGGGAAGAGCCCTCTTGTGAGGTGTCCCCTTGGAGCCGGCTGGAATCTTCTCCGTGGTCTTGGTCATCGGCCCTTGGGTCTGATGGGCTTCCATGTACTCCATCGTCTCCCAGTCGATGTGGCTCCACTCTCCTTCGGTGGAGGATCTCCCTTTTGTCTTCATCACCGGCATTTGCGATGCCTCCGCTTCCTTCTTCCAGCGAGCCATGCAGTAATTCTGGAAGCTGCGCATATCGACTCCTGTGAGCCGTTTGTGGTGCAGGATGAAATTCACGTAGTTGGCGTCTGTCTCGAACAGCACATCGAATGACTGACCGGCATGTTTGCCGGAGTTCATTTTCTCCTGTCCCCACTGCTTGAGGCTGGTCATTCCCGATAAAATCATGTAGGTGTAGTCCAAGGCCTGTCGGGTTGCCGACATCAAAGTCGGGTCTTCTTCCCCCGACAGCTCGTCCTCCACGGAGTGGTGAGCCATTGTCTTTCTCATTGCCATGATCGTCGGTGTTGTCAATGTCGATCTCGGGCTTCGAATGGATGATAGCTTGAGCTGTCTCTTGGGCTGCACGGTCGTTCTGATCCAAGTCTGTGGGATGCTGAAACTCTGTATGCTTATCTGTTGTCTCCTCATTCTGAATTCTGCTTTCATGCATGTGGTGGGTCGACTTGTGGTGTGTGTTTGTGTTCTGTGAAAATGAATGAAACACTTCACCCTTTTCATCATCAAAATCAACATTCAACAACTCCCGAACACTCACACAAATCAAACGCCGTCGAACCTTACGCAAATCAAGTTCTTGTTTCGCCCCATGGAACCACAGTTTCCCCCTATAGGAATCAATTACCCCCTTCATTCCTTGAACAACTGCGTTTGACAACAAGAACGGTGTGCTTCCGGGCACGATCTCGACGCGAAGCCATCCTCTGCCTTTTCGCTGCAAAAACAGTGCTTCTTGGGATTGGAGCGTGCCGCTATTCCCAAACTTGAACACACAACTGGAGGGACCTCTTTTAACCTTGACCCCCTTCAAAGCTTGAACCAAACCCTCGACCCTACGACTCCCTATCACAGTTCGGCTCGCTCCGGTGTCCAAAATAGCTTCATCTGAAGCTTCTTCAGTCATCTGCCCCGGTCCAGTCTGATCATGGACGTTCCAGGCAGGAAGGATTGGTGAGGAGGCTTTCTCAAAATTGATTCGCGTCTTGGCTGAAGGAGCACATTCAATTCGCCCCGGCCTCTGAGCGATATGGAGAGCTGATCGAAGGCGACTTCCAAACAGTCCACTGTCCCAAACAGTAAAAACAGGAACCCCTTCACTCATCCCTGGTGTCTCATGTCCCCTTCGAGCGTCCGGAACGATCAATGTTGACGGCTTACAAAAACTTTTGATCAAAATGGAACAAGGCTCATAGTCCTGGACGTCATCCGGCAAGGTGTCCATGAGTTCTGGATCCTGCTCAGGTTCATAGGGCGTTTCCGCCATGGTGGTGGTCTCAGCCTGTCGTTTGAAGCGCTGAGGACATTCTCGCTTCCAATGGCCAGGCTTTGAACAAATACGACAGGTCGAATTGGCAATCCTCTCTGCGAGTGTCTTTCGAGGAGGTGCCCATGAGCTCTTCCATGAACCCTTCTTTCCTTTTCCCTTGTTCATCTGATTGCCACCCTTGCCCTGACCTGGCGGCCAGAAACCTCGTTGGCGAACTCGTTCACGAAGTCGAGCACGTGCTTCTTGATATGCTGAAAAGCAACTGGCCAGCTGGCTGGACTCTTGCACAGCATTGATGACCTCTTCCTCGAATTCTGCCACAAACACTGCGTCTTCATCTCCTTGATCTTGTAGGAGTTGAAATGCATGTTCCTCCTGTTGTTCATCAGGAGGCTCAAAAGTCACCATGGTGTCCTCCTCGTCCGGCGTCTCTGTGACGTTCACGTCATAGGTTTTGTTCTTGGGCTTTGCTTGACCATGGAGGTCGGTAAAGAACTTCGACCCAAGAAGGCGAACTCAGTCTCTGGTAGGACCATATTTCAGCACTCCATCGGACTCCACGATGATGCGCTTCTTGTCATCCGCAGCCAAGGCGGAATGCCTCAGAAGTATGTATGCTCGAATTTCTTCGAGGCTGATGCCCTTTTCCTTAGCCATCACTTCTTCGAAACAGGCATCATGCCTTGCGAGATAGCTGTCATTGGTTTCGTCCCCCTTCTGCACGGTTGCTGCAGTTCTGGCCGCACTAGGCCTTCAATGGGGAAGGTTTTCAGCAGAAGACCGCTACCTCAAGCTTCTTCCCATAGTCATCCAGGTCCGTTTCTCCAGCAACAAAACTTGGAATCTGTGCCCAAGGCAGCTGGCTGGCCGGGAGGGATCCCGAGCTTCGGCCTGGTGCAGCCTCCTCTGCCGTCTGAACAGCTTTTGGGGCCATGGCTCAATCACACGATGGAGGTAAAATGTCTTTCCCCCAAAACTTTCCTATCACCACCAATCTAGGGTCACCCTGAACCCCCAAACGCACCTTGCCCCTTGTTTAAGGGGCTCCGCTACCAATGTGAATCCTATATGGAACCTGTCCTTCTGGAGTCCTAGACTGTCCTCAGTCACCCCTGTCCCTAGACACCGAACCCCTGGTTTCTCCTCGGTGTAAATGCCTCTGCCCACCCACCACTGCATTGAGACGGCGAGTCATCAACGGTCATCAACCATCAATGGACAAATCACAATAATATATATATATACACATACAATACACTCAATCCTTGAGGAAGAAATAGGACAGATTCTAGGCTCTATTTCACTAGCCCTTTCCCATTTGAGCACCGTTTGAAAATAGGACAGTTGGGAGGGAGCCTCGGAGATCGGAGTTTCGAGAGAAAGCCGAGAAGCGATCTGTGAGGCCTTCAAAGCAAGCCTCCACCAATCCACTACCGCCTAATGTGTCTCGACTAAATTGCAGGGATAAAGGAATCGAAGGAAACTAGGAAGAACGAGGGTCTAAAGTCTAAAGAAAAAGACAAAGGAAAGAACAGGCAGAGAAAAGTTCCAAAGCGTTGAAGGTTTAGAGAAGAAACGAAGAAAGGACTTTAAGGGACCCTTAAAGGACGCTTCGAGAGTTTCGACCGAAGTGGTGACAGCTCAGGTGGACCGGCGCAGCTATGAGGCGCGCGCACATGTTTGCATTTTTTATAGGCGCTAATTGTTATATATATATATCTCTCTCTCTCTCTCTTTGTGTCTGTCTGTTTGTCTGCCTGTGTCTGTGTCTGTGTCTCTGTCTCTGTCTCTGTCTATTTGTCTCTCTGTCTCTCAAGTAAATCTTCCTTTCAAATGTTGTAGAAGTACAGTCTTGTCCTCCAATCATAGCCATAGCTTTACCATCCAGTTTCTTCTTTACAATCAACAAGCCTTCAACCGTTTGCAGGGCCCAAGCGTGCTTGGAGAACATTCCATCGGCAGGTGTGGCGCCGGGACGTGTCACTGAAGTCCTTGCTGGCCTTTGAGGCGGAGGTGCGAGAATAAACGAATACTACAGTAAGAGTCGCACATTTCGACAAACGATGAATTCGACGAAAAGTAAACGGAGGATTCTTTGTGAATTCTGGTGCTTTGTGTGAGTAGTTTGTTGTCATGGTTGCGGATTGATGCTTTCTGTGTACAGGCCAAGTAGATTTTATTTGATACAATGGACTTCCACTCGGATGCACTTGTCCTTCCAGCACAAAGAACTGTGTTTGCCAGCCAGGTAAAAGCTCGTCAAGAGTCCTCAACAACGCAGAGGGCTTGTGATCATGATGTGAGTGAGGGCAAAATCCAGAGCCAGAGCGGGTGACCTTCAACAGCTGCCATCGAGCTAGCAACAGAGTGGTGCATGGCATCGAACACCAAGATCAAACTTATGACAATTCATCAGCATGTAGTCAAAGTGTCAGAAAGGCCGAGCAGCAGCTTTGCATTGTGTGCCATTGGTCAATTAATTATGTCTTACTTACATGTACTCTCCGTAGGAATAACATGCGCGGTGTCCCACTGATAGCTTTCAAAGTCAAGGTGTTTGACCTCTCCGCCCAGCCTTCCGTCTGGAGGGTGGGGGGGTCAGACATCAAAAAAGAGAGAAAAAGGGAGCCATCCCTGACGACTGGATCCCCTTTGTGGGGTGTGGTTGTTGGGGTATGGCCCAAGTGCTCTCCCCTTTCTCTCCAGGCTTCCCTTGTGGGAGCGAGAGAGGGTTTTTGTGCGTGTGGGTGTAGTGAAAGGAGGGGCCACCGAGGAGACGCTGTCCTGTTCCGAGAGGGGGCCCTGAGGGCCCTATCCCTCCAAGACTTGAGTCTGGAGGTGTTGGAACATGTTGGAACTATGGAAGCGCAGAAGATAAGGTTCTTTGAGAAAGGTGGCCTCTTGGCGCTGCTTATCATGAGAAGTGGCGCCAATCTTGGGGAGTGTTTGGTGCGGTCCACAAAGCCGGGGTCTGACGACGGCAAGAGGGGGAGACAGAGGGATGTTCTTCCCCTGCCGCAGGGTTGACCGGAGTGGATCGTCAGCGCTTGCAGACCCAAGGTCCAGACTCTTTTACAAGTACGTTGAGGTGCTAGGACCGTTGAAGATCTGGCGCGGGGGATGGACGTCTGGTCGCTTCTGATGGTCGAAAACGTGGTCGGAGATGAAGAGGATATGAAAGATATGAGTGAACAGCTTGGATGCCGACCCCTATACGTCTGTTCCAGCGGGCCTTTCTTGGGTTCGGAGACCGCGGCTGTACCATCCCAGTTTCCAGATTTCCCAGAGAGGCCACTATGAGCTGTACAAGGTCATAGTTTTCAACGAAGAGTTCGAACCTCTCAACTTGGTATGTGAGGAAGGCTGGGTCTGGCCTGCGGCCGAGGTGAGCAAAGACATACGGCTGCCAACATTCGCAAGGGCTATCTTACGGAAGAATCCGCCGAGCGATCCAGCAGGAATAGCCGAGACGGGACAAAGGTGCGTGTGGTTGAAATGAGAGGGGAACCAAGTGCACAGGGACACCCGATGAAGCCCACCTCATTGAAAAGACCTGGGCGACCTGAAACCTGTGTTGAAAGGTGTGTAAAAGTGCACGTGCACACTAAGGCCGGGACCAATGTGCACGCAAACGAAGAAAAGGATGAGATGACCAGACATGAAGACAGGAGGACATGAAAGAAAAGAGCAAACAAAAGTGTGTGAAGGGGAAGGGATGAAAGGGGAACCAAATGGAGGGGACGAAAACCGATGAGACCAAACCTCATTGCAACGACCTAGGTGACCTGCCTTGTTTCAATGTACACGCTGTGTGTGCGCCCAAGGTCGCGACAGGTTCCAATGAACCTCAAAAGTACTTCGGTCGCTCTGACCACGTTGAGGCGTTAAGCCAGCTTGGACCGCTGCAGTCACGTAAAGGCATGAGCTAGCTTGGAATTCCAAAGATGGGACAAACATCCAAATTCTTGTGGCATGAGCCAGCTTCGCCCGCTGTGGGCACTTACGTTTCCAAAGCAAGGGAAACAGCGACAAGCCCCCGTTCGACGGGTCCACGGGAGGCACTCTGCGGGCTCATCCCGGGTTGGCACGAGGCCAAACACACTTATGGATATGCGTACGGAACTGATAGCGGTGCCACACGCCGGCCTAGGGTTCCATTCCCTAGAGTATCAATAGGAAACCATCGAAACCTGGAGGTCTTAAAAGGAAAAGAGGCCAAAGTCTCAGACGACGAAGCGACAGGGTAACGGCGGTCGTACTTGTCTGCCGAGTGATGTTCTTGGCTTAGCCTCATGCCATGCAGAAAGGAAGGAAAAGCGCAGGTACGCCCAGCTGGCCAAGCTGGATATCCCACCAGACTGCATAGCTTTGTTAGACACGGTCTGCAATCTGGTGCCGTGTCCCCCTGTTGAGTAAAAACAACTCAAAAGAATCCCTGTGACTACAAGGGGCACACACACACTATATAACATTGAGTTTTACACTATAGCATGTTTGTACATATATATATATATACACCTACACATTCAGACTATACAAACATACACTCAAACAATTGAATTATTCATTCTCCGGCTGTGCTTAGGTCCAGTGAAAACGAAGCAGTTCGCGATCGTGAGCTCCCTGCTTCATCGTTTTCTGGCTGCAATAACGGTTATTCAAAACAACCTCAAGGTTTCATATTTCTGGAGTCCAAATTTAGAAGGACGGCGTATGATGTCGAAACACTTCGGTTAGTTTCCACGGAGATGTGCTGTGGAATCCAAAGGAAATTACTATGTCGACATGTCGTCACCTGTTCGCGGCATGAGGAGATCTTCAAAATTGCCTTCCTCAGATTCACCACCGTCCTCCCTGAGGCAAGAGACAAAGACAGAAAGAAGGAAAGAAGGAAAGCAAGAAAAACACTGGGTATTTCTTGCGTGACGTCAAAGCGCTTTCGGGTAGGCTGCGCCGTTCCTCTGAAGAACTATGCGTCGATGCACGGCCAATTTGATGTTTTTCTCCCTGAACTGCCAAAATTGGGCTCTCAAGGACACTAGAGTTTGAGCAATTCAAGCTTCATCGTCTACCAAGGAGGCTCTTCCAGCTTGCCCTGCACCCTTGCTAGGACTTCCATCCCAAGTGTCTGAGCTCAACAGGTGTCATAGCCATCGAACACAACTGATATCGAATCAGAACGGCTCTTGAGCACGGTTGCTTCCTGTTGCGGGCAGATTTGAGATCAGAGTGGGGCTGAAGCGAAAGCATCTGTTCTTCTTCAAAGCACTCTCTGAGAAAAGAAACAGCAGCTTCTACATGGACAGATTGGTATATACTTATTACACTATTCTTTTCAAACAAATGTTGCACGGTCTCTTGGTGGAGGAAGCTATCGAGCAGCAGAACTCTTTTGTCTTCCTTCCACTTTTCTGGATGCTCACACAAGATTGACTGCACCATCCAGCTGTATTCGTCATATTTTCTTGATAGAACTATATATATATATAATGCAGAAGAAGAAGAAGCAGAAGAAGAAGAAGAAGAATAACAACACTGTTCTTTGTGGAGCATTATCCAGCACTGTTCGGCATACTTTGGACATTGCATGTAGTGACACGTTCGTTTGCGCCTGCTGTGTGACACCAAGGTCCAGACCACAGAGAGCTAGGGTAGCTGAGGCAGGCATTGGATTGGTTGTGGCTGCAACTGACAGAGTGCGGCGCACCTTTTACATTTCTCTTTGTGGCATTGTGAGCTTCCATTTTGGGTTGCTCTTTGGACAGCTCGCTTCTTCAATTGGCTCCACGCACAAAGCAATTAAGATGTAGACTGAAAATGACTCTCAGACGCAGTCTCTATCTCAGTCTCAGACAAGATTGGGCATGTATATTCCAACATAATGGACAGCCTGGAACAGGTTTCATCCAGTGCACAACGCAAGCTAGCACCAGCATACGGCAAAGGTTTGATGGTTGCGGTCCAGCTGGGCCGGCCGCACGGAGATATTTCAAAAGAGGTCACTACTAAGGTTAGTGACTACTTTCTTTTCTTTTAAAGTGTTTGATTTAACAAAGTTTGTACGGTTGTTTGCTTGTTCACTCTGCACGGTGCTTCACCATGTCGCACTCGCGTTCTCCAATGCCGCACCTGGCCATGCGGCAAACAACAGGAAGTTGGAAACCGGCACAAGGCTCAACTCGGGGAGAAAGATTATTCAAAGTCTTCAAAGGAAGACCGACCGACCGCTACAAAGTTGTTTGTCCCAGGCAACACACACTACAAAAAGAAGTTGATTTGGCAGTCCAAGACATGGCATGACCTTTACAAATCCCGGCCATCATCGGGAACAATGACCGCTTGTCAAGCTAATGAACCAATGCAGTGAATTTTGGGCAAGAAACGCACATAAGAGGTGTCACTGAATCACTTCCAGTTGCCCGATATTTGAGAGAATGGGGTCTAGCAGCCTAGCATGCAGTTTCGAATCCACGATATTGTATGAGCTTGCTATGAGGCAGAGAGAAATCTCGCTGGCAGCTACCCCAAGCCGTGCGTGGGGTGCACTCAGGACCCGAAGAATTTTTGGCATTCATTTCATGAGCCAGCAAAAGGTGCAAAAGCAAAGGTGGATTTGAGCATACCTTTGGATGAGCTAGTTGACTCTACAAATAGGACGTCTCAGTGGCCACTTCAGCACTTTAGAATTCAGTGGGTCATGGGATATGAGCATGTCACTCAGATCCTGACCAAGAAGGGAGAAGAAGCACAATTTCCTGTCAACATATATCAGTGTATTGTGGTTGCGATTCCCTTTTTGTGAGTTCCAAGCAGGAGCCGAGTTGTTCCCAGAGAAGAGCAGCCTCGTACAGAGGCGGCTTGGCAAAATTCGAAGCCTCATGCACAAGGATGTACGCAGTCTATTCTTGAGCTGCCCCTACGAAATCAGAGCAAACAATATTTGTCCCTACGAATCAAACAGTTCCTCTGTTCTTCGAGACTGTGGCGAGGTCAGGTTTCTTTCCGCTAAGGAGCATGTTAGGCACTTCCACGGGTGATTTCAAAAGGCGAAAGCCGCGGACGAAGGCTGCAGCGATCCACAATGTGCTAGCGCGCCCTGGTGTCCTTTTGAGAAGTCTTGTTTTCAGAATTTCCCTTGTGTTGTTAATATATTTTAATCAGTTCATGCCTTCCTTTCTTTTCCTTTCTGCTTTTGTCCTGAGGCAGGTAGCATCTTCCAAGACGAAATTGCCACACTGGCCACGGCCTGTTGAAAGTCGGAGCGCAGGCAAAGTAACAAGTGACAGATAGATAGAGCACGATTTTGTTTGAGGGCATGTTGAGAAAAGAACGACCTTGCTTACATAATTTTCAAGTGTGTGTGTGTCAAAGCCTGTTTCCAAGGCTGCGCACAATGTCTAGTATGTAAAACTAATTTTAACAGCGCGAGAAAAAGAGGCAGGGGGCTGGAGTGTGCTTCAGATGTCTCCAGCCAACGAAGACGCATCTGTCGCACAGTGATATAGTTCTGGGACGCCAGAACTACGTACCTGCCATTTTCAACTGTTATCAAGCTGTCCAGTGCGGTGTTGTGCAGTCAAGAGCTAAGGGAAAAAACTTGTTGAAACACCTGCAAATATGCCGACTTTCTCGCCTTGCGGCTCTGCATTTTTCTCCGTTCTACCAAGTCAAGTGGAGCTTCACTGCCGACTGAGCTCTTGCGAGCAACTCTCAAAGTGTGTGTCGCCACAGAGTCCCACTGAGGGCTGTGGTGTGATCCCCACCGAGGGGCGCAGCATGTGCATAGACCCAGATCCAGGGGGACCCACCCTGATTATTCCGTTCTTGCATTGGAGCTTCTTTGTGCAATCCCACTGATTGGCGGAACTTGACGAGACTGCCGATTGAACACCGCAGGGCTTGCTGAGATCAGATCCAGTTCGGAATGTCACACATGAGCATGTTCAGAGCAGTTTCACTTGGCTAAGTAAACAAGACGAGATACCTGCATAGGTCGACTGTGTCATTCGGACGACTTTGGGTTGCCCGAGGCTGTTAGGTTCAGGTAAGGAGTTGCTCGAAGTTTTTCAGGTTTCAGGTGAAACTGTAGCGCCTTTTACGGCCGAGCGGAGGGAGAGTTCGGAACGTGAACAACTAAGTAATCTCTTCTGGTTCTTTTGGCTTTTCTTTCCTGCTTTTGCTTTTTCGTTTTCTTGAGGCCTTTCTTTAGGTTTCTTTAGGTTCAGTCAAAGATGCGCCAAATGCGGCTTTACTTGAACGCCAGTGACGGCAATGCCTTCGGGCCATCCCAACCCACCCTCCCCCCTACCTCCTTGCCCCGCGCCTTGGTTGCTACCCCACCCGCTATCTAGGGTAACAGGAGGAAATCGCACTCAACACACTTGTGTGTTGGTGCCTTTCCTTCTGTTTCTCCTGTCCTAGTCCTAGGTACCTGAGCGGTCTAAGACTAAAGTCCCGCTCGCTAACTATTGCGTTTAATTCGTGTAACTAGAAGGCTTCGAAACTAGTGGGCCCAGCTCGCAGCTTCACCATTACACTGCCTCGTAACTGCTCCTATCTTTCTCTCTTGCCCTCTTCGTTTGCTCTTTCTGTCTTTTCTCTCTCTCTTTCTTTCTAAGGCTTGTTAGGTGGCTAGTACTTTACTTGCGCGCCGCTATCGGCATGATGTGTGTGTCACAGCCTGTTTTTAAGGCTGCGCGCGTTATCAACTTTTAAAAACCCATTTTAATCGTAGGGGCGGTAACTAGAGAGCCCCGTAACTAGGGGGCCTCGTCACTACCCCTACCTTTCTCTCTTGCCCTCTTCGTTTGCTCTTTTTGTTTTTCCTTTTCTGTCTTTCTAAGGCTTGTTAGGTGGCTAGTAATTCGTTTGAGCGCCGATATCGGCGTGGTGTGTGTGTGTGTGTCAAAGCCTGTTTCCAAGGCTGCGCACAATGTCTAGTATGTAAAACTAATTTTAACAGCGCGAGAAAAAAGAGGCAGGGGGCTGGAATGTGCTTCAGATGTCTCGAGCCAACGAAGACGCATCTGTCGCACAGTGATATAATTCTGGGACGCCAGAACTACGTACCTGCCATTTTCAACTGTTATCAAGCTGTCCAGTGCGGTGTTGCGCAGTCAAGAGCTAAGGGAAAAAACTTGTTGAAACACCTGCAAATATGCCGACTTTCTCGCCTTGCGGTTCTGCGTCAAGTCAAGTGGAACTTCACTGCCGATTGAGCTCTTGCGAGCAACTCTCAAAGTGTGTGTGTGTGTGTGCGTGTAACCCTTGGAGTCACAGGGATCCTTCAGGATTGTATCGCACTAGCTTTTTCCCTCATCTAACAAAGACCGCGCCAAGTGGATGTGATATCAGTGCCCGGCCAGCACTGACGTACCTGCCTTTTGGCCCTGCTTCCTCTTGAAGACCTCCAGGCTCCGTAGTTTGTTTGACCTTTTCAGGAATTGGGTACCCAGGTTGGCGTGTGGCAGCCGCATTCACATCAGCGCAAGTGTGTCTCTCCTTAGTGAGAGCCCAGGATGACCTCGAAGAGTGGCCCCTGTGGAGCCGTTGAACGGGGGTTTGTCGAACGTATCCCTTGCCCATATACAGAGCAGCTCGCAGCGAGCGTAGGTGGCTTGAGCTAAAATTACTTGCCAAGATTTGATGGATTATTGAATTCCGCCGGCCGCCTTCGGGCATGCCGTTAGGTGACCAGAGCGGTCTCAAGTCGCCCGCCATTTTGGCATAGCGCAAGGTGACCGCAGCGGTCAGCATTTTGAGGTTCGTTGGACCCTGTCAGGGACCTTAGAGGGATGCCGCCTACACCAAGCCGCACACTGCAAACATGCCTACAGCCTTTTCCTTTCCCTTCCATACGCGGGTCTACACCCTACCGGATTCACTGCGCAGCTGGCAAACTTCATTCCTTTTCTTGTTCTTTCCTCTCCCTGCGCCTCCCGCCGCTTTGCAGCTCTCTCCTACCGGCCTCGCCGCCTACACTGCAAACATGCCTACGGCCTTCCTGGCAACCGCGCCAACCATTCTCACCCCGGATAACGGCTGGGCCAGGGGAAATTCTTACCTTTTCTTGATCTCGCCTTTCTCACCCATCGTTTGGACCTCAGCTGAAAAGTGCCCCCCATTGCGGGGGACGTGTGTGTGTGTAACGCTGGGAGTCACAGGGATCCTTCAGGATTGTACCGCATTAGCTTTTTCCTGCGCAATGCTGAGACACCACCTTTTTTCTTTTCAATGTAGAGCAGGGGGATGAGGATCCCTTGGTGTGCCCCATCTAAGACCGCGCCAAGTGGATGTGGTGGTATCAGTGCCCGGCCAGCACTGACGTACTTGCCTTTCAATTTTTAAGCCATTGAGCTTTTGGCCCTGCTTCCTCTTGAAGACCTCCAGGCTCCGTAGGTTTACTTGACCTTTTCAGGAATTGGGTACCCAGGTTGGCGTGTGGCAACCGCTTTCACATCAGCACGCATTTCTATAAGTGTGTGAGACCCTTGAAATCACAGGGAATGCGTTGATTTTTAGCCGGGGGACTGCCTGACTTGTAACAGTGGCAGTCCAACGAAGAGGCTGTTACGAGTCACTGATAAGGATTCTGGACACAGAATCCACGTGCCTGCTTCGTGATGACATCTCATTTCCCACTGGGCCCCGTTTTAACTACAACAAGATTGCCAGCCTTCGCGCCTGTTTTTTTCTGCAGTCAAGTGCTCGTCGCTCGATCTTTCGTCGACTTCCTCGAGTTCGTGAACTTGGCCTTATGAAGACTTTCAGGTTCATGGACAAACCGTCGTACTTACCTCAAACCTGACCTCATAG